AGGACAGTTACGTCAATTAATGCCGGGGCTCGGATTCCCCCTCCGAAATGGATGTTGCTGCAGGAATTTTTTTTAAAATATTCTGTCCCTGCTCTCTGGAACCCCCATCCCTGAGTTCCTTGGTATCACCTACTCTATCCCCACTTTTAAAGCCTGCCTCAAGATCTCTTTGACTGCAATTTTTAGTCATCTTTCCCCTCTTAACTCGCCTCCCTACCCAACTCAGGTGCCAATCCAGCAGTGTGGGATGCTTTGAGAGCACTTCTAACATGAAAGGCGTTCTATAAATGTAAATTGTATTGTAATCGTATTGTTTGTGTACCTGTAAGCTGTGTGAGTCATTTAACATACTGCAAAATAACCTGTAGATTGGCCAGACTGGATGGGTGGGTAGGCTGGGTGGGAGAGGTTTCAAATCCAAGGGATAATTTTACATAGCAAGCTGCATCCAGATGAATCCACTGGTATTCATACCAGTTATATAAGCTCATTATTGATTGATGACAGTAAAAAAAAAGATTTTGCATAAAATCGCATCTTCTATACCCGACAACAGCTGCTACAAACATGAGCACAAAACCTTAGCTACCGTCAACTAAGAGCTGGAAGGATTCACTTGCCCACGGATTACATCCTGAATACAGCCTGAACCTTTACTGCAATGGGTGCTTTTTGTGACTTTTAAAAGGCACTTGTTTTTCATCATATAATTGTTCCAAATTTTGCTAAAGGTGGATCCTGCTGCAGAAAATAAGAGAATAAGAGTACAGCATAAAAGAACATTACCTACTGTGGTTAGAAAGTACTTCTAGATACTAATATATATTTTTGCAAAATGTAGGAAACTCCTGTACACAAATTGGTTAGGAGGTTCATCTACAAGCCTGGCTCAGTTGATAGCACTCTCACTTGAGTCAGGAGGTTGTTAGTTAAAGTCCTACATTGGAACCTCAAGTTCATAGTCTTAGGCTGACAATTCAATGCAATGCTAGGGAAACACTGCATTTTCAGAGGTGTTAGCTTTCAAATGAGACGCTAAACCAAGGTGCCATCTGTGGGTTCAGGTGAACGTTAAAGATCCCACGCTACCATTCAAAAACAAACAAATTGCATTTATATTGCGCCTTTCACATCGGAAGAGAAGGGAGTTTCTCCTGGTATCCTGGCCATCAATTTCCCCCCTCAAAAATGATTTACTTCATAACTATTTGTGTGACACTGCTGTGTGCAAATTGGTTGCCATGTTCGCCAACAAATATCCAGGCACTGCATTTTATAGTAAAATCTTGTGAAACGTTTCGATGATGTGATAAGATAACATATCAAATGCAAGTATTATTGTATTATTAATTATTTGATTGTGAAAAGGCTTGGATTATAAATGCACTGGTTGAATATGGGATATTGAAAATGTAGTTCAAGCATATTTTAAGCAAAGAGACAAATGTGCAGGTTATGTGATTTTTAATATCTGCCTAAACAGGTAGACCGGAACTTACTGGGTTTACTGTCTTGTTTGAAAAATGTCATCTCTGACAATGCAGCTCTGCCCTAAAGCTGCACTGGAATGTCAGCCTAGATATGAGCTCAAGTTCCCCAATGTATCCTTAGCACCCTCTCTTCAGACTTGAACGCAGCATTCATACTATGTATTTTTCTGCCAAAGTTAGACTCTGTATGTAGTTTGCATCACATTCAGGTCATTGCTCATTATCCAACAGACAACGTCGTCATGCAAATTTATTGAAAGTGGAGACTATAATTAGTTTGGGTTTAAGCCAAACTCCAGGGTCTGAATTAATCTTGGAGTATATGTATCACCAATTAATTTTGTCATAATTTATTACCCAAGCATAAGCAGGCATAGTCCATGTAATGAACATTTATATTCAGTGTGTGCTTCATCCAAAGACTGAACTGAAGTCATGTTTTGCTTGGTTCTAAGCTGATCAGTTTTAAATTGTGTGTCAGCCCGGCTCAGTTATTACTTATAATAATAATAATTAAAACGATAACAATATAATAATAATAATCCTGATCACATTGTTTAAATGTATCAAAACACTTCACCGGATTTACTGTAAAGTGTAATGGTTGTGTAATTGTGCACATACATTGGTGACTCTTTAGCCTTTGGGTCAGAAGGTTGGGGGTTCAAGTCCTACATTGGGGATTTTGAAGTCACAGTCCAAGTTGACACTCCAGTGCAGTATTGAGGGAGAGCTCCATTGTCAGAAATGCCACAGATGAGACATTAAACTGAGGTGCGGTCTGCCTGTTTAAGTGGACGATAAAGAAGCCATCATGCTTTTGAAATATTGCTGTTTCTCCATATTATGTGCTACAGGGATGCAAATACAACAGGATTTGTGTTGCTGCGTTAAAGGAAATTGCATCTTCCTAACAAGAGAAAGCAAAATCCGTGCTCTTGTGCCCAAAAAGCACTTAAACCAAGCAACAACTCACATTGTGGACTGAGAAGAAACATTCAAGTTAACTGCCTGCTGGTTAAAGATTGGATAAAATTGTTCATTTTTCAGCCCTGCCTTTTATGGAATAGTTGTAATTATGAGGAAATATAATTCCACATGTTTCTCCTGAAAACATTTTTTCACAGATTCATCTACAAAACAGTCACACCACTTGACAGCACATTCCGTGGCATGCATTGATATGTCCGACTGACATGAGCGGCGCTCTACCACAAAAAGGATTATTATATTTTACTTTAAAGAATTGGGTAGAGATTCATAACTGAAGTCACATCCCACACTCAAACAGTGAGGCATGAAGCATTTAAGAATAATAAAGTTCGGAGTTTGAAATAAAATGGACTTGGTGGTCTGAACGGCCCGTTTCCATGCTGTATCATTCCTCGCAATTCTATGCAAGTTTGAGCAGATTTTCGCACATACAAACTTAGATTCAAACTTCACCATCCATCAACACATTTTTTAGCCTGAAGCCTTTCTGTAACAAGCACCAACCCAAAGCAAGGGTTTTATTTTTGCAGTTCCAACACAAATTTTCTACAAAATAAGTGCAATTTGTACAGCTGTTTATTTTGCACAACCTTTGAGAATGAAATGATTAATAAATCGCAGTTTAGCAAAAAATATTTTCTAAAATATTATGAAAAGCCCACCGATAAGAAACATGTTCTTGGAAGCATGATCCCACCACCCACCTGACAAAATGGCTGGCAAATTGAGAGACATCCTAGAAAGCATACTCACCCCTCCCCACCACTTGTTAAACACTAGTGACTGGATGACAAAGTAAAGATGAATGACGTTTGCTTAAAGGAATGCTGCTTATACGGTCGACCATGCTATCCTCCTCCACCGCTTGTCCTCCCACCTCAACCTTCAAGGCCCTGTTCTTGAATGGTTTAGGTCGTACCTCTCCCACCGTCTTCACTTTGTCTCCACGATTGGTTTTTCCTCCGGACCCCGCACTGTCACGTGCGGTGTCCCTCAGGGCTCTGTCCTCGGTCCCCTCCTCTTCACCCTCTACATGCTCCCCCTTGGTGACATCATCCGCAGACATGGGGTTAACTTCCACATGTATGCGGATGACACCCAACTCTACCTTTCCTCCTCTACCCTCAACTCCACGACCACCGATGTCCTGACAGCCTGCCTGTCTGACATCGAGTCCTGGACGAGAGACAACTTTCTTCAGCTCAACGTGCGTAAAACTGAGGCCCTCCTGATTGGCTCACGTCAGCGCCTCCGCACCTCAGGCTCTGACACCATCAGCATCCAAGGCTGCACTCTCCACCTCTCAAAGCCAGTCAGGAACCTTGGGGTTCTGTTCGACCCTGAGCTGTCCTTTCTCCCTCATATCCGCGCCACAACTGCACCGCCTTCCATCACCTCCGGAACATCGCCAGACTACGGCACTACCTCACCCCTCACGCTGCTGAAACTCTGGTCCACGCCTTTATCACCTCAAGGCTGGACTATGGGAACTCTCTCCTCGCCGGCCTTCCCGGCACCTCCCTCCACAAGCTGCAGGTCATTCAGAACTCTGCAGCTCGTGTACTGTCCCGCACCAGGCTTCGGGAACACATCACTCCCTCCCTCGCTTGCCTCCACTGGATCCCCATCCCCCAGAGGATCGATTTCAAGATCCTCATCCTCACCTACAAGGCCATTCACGGCCTTGCTCCCTCCTACCTCTCTGACCTACTATCCCCCTACCTACCTGCTCGTACCCTCAGTTCCTCTGGTTCCGGTCTGCTCTACATCCCCCGCCCCAACCGCCCTGCCATCGGTGGCCGGGCCTTCAGCCTCTCAGCCCCGAGGCTCTGGAACTCTATCCCCCAGTGCCTTCGCCGCTCCCTCCCTTTCCTCCTTCAAGGCCGGTCTCAAGACCTTTCTCTTTGACCGTGCCTTCAGCTCCCCTCTCGACTCTCTACCCCCTCCTCGCTTCCTCCCTTCCCTCCCCTCACCCTGACCATTTCCCCCTGCTCGGGTCCTGACCCAACTGTACAGCGCCTTGGGACGTCCTCCCGACGTGAAAGGCGTTCTATAAATGGAATCTTGTTGTTGTTGTTATACGACTAAGACAACCGAACATCTTTAAAAGCTGGGAGCAGTAAAGTGTCCTCACGTACATTCCTAAATACATTTTCAATATGAAGAGTTTATCGGCATCAAATTCACTGAATCCTACTGCCATTGCTGGTATTCCACATGAAGCACCTTCAAAACGAGCAGATCAAACCCAGTTTTGACAGGGATGAAGCTCAAACTTTTGGAATCTTTCCAGTAAGATGTGAAGAACCATACAGGTGCCTCCCTTGAGTCATTTTGCTACTAGCATATTGGCAACAGACTATTTGGCATAAAAACATGGCTCTCGGACTGTCCCACATCTCAGAAAGTATGAAATAACAACCATTGTAGGTTTCAGGATGATGGAAATTAAGGGCACAAAACACACAAATTGGTACACTCTGACACTCAAATTGAAACATTTTTTCCAGTACTCACTTCCTTGGGAGCTTCAATGTTTTCACTTTCTCTTCTGCCTGGTCATCAGCAATACCTACGTGGCAACCCAATGCCAGTAAAGTTCTGCAAAACAACCCATTTGAATAAGAACAGCAGCTTCACCAGTGCCTAAGGCCAGATTGTCAGCAATGAAAATTCTGTCAATAGCAAACGCTAACCAGATACATTTGAAATCCCTATATAACCTATGTAAGCTGCAAGAAATAATTATTTCATCCTCTACATGTTATATTGCACGCCATTCATTTTCCTGAGATAGTCAGTTACTCTAAAATAAGCAAAACCTCACAATTAATTTTCTTTACTCACAATGTGGCAGTAAATATCATCCAAAAAATTTACATTGTTTTGAAAGGATCAAAAAGAGACCGTTAGTCTTAGTCTCACTAAAATAAGCAATTCAGAATTACAGTATTGTGTGCTGTTACAATGACAAAACAGATATGAGCAAGAAATATCTACCATTCAGACAATGGTAGAGAATTGGTCTCCAACTCAGCCTCCTGCATGTGACTTGCTATTTTGTGCCTTGAAGGTTAAGCACCTGCCTCAGTTGACACCTTTGATCTTACTTAACAACCATGCTGATCCATGGGGCTTACTGGAGCTCACCTGAGCCACTCGACAGAATGTCTCAGAGTGACAGAATCATCCATCTCAGGGGATAAAACAGACCTGAAAGTTACCCGAAAGGAGTATACAAGTAAGAAAGCTTTGGAAAGTAGATTCCAGACAGCTTCAAGCAAGATCTATTTGGATAGATATCCAGCCAATTATTTTTTGAAGGAGAGAATTGACAACATCTGACACATGTCAGTGAATCGCAATTCCAACACTGCATCAGTAATAAAGTGATTTCCAAATGAGGGCAGACTTGATAAAACATGATCAGCAGTTTTACTGCAACTGGCTTCCATATGGTTTGAACTGAACACTTACAACAGTAAATCTGCCAGTATACAGACCATTTCATTGCGAGCTATACCACTAACATCTCCACTGGCATTGAAAACTGAGAACATTTTCACCATTCAGCCTCCCAATTATGGATATAACTTTGCTATGCAACATGCTCTTCCCTGTGGCAAGCTCTTTATATGGTTTCCACAGTCAACGTTACTGGCTGTATTCGCTCCGCTTGAGTATTTTTGAAAGAGATTCATTTTAAAATTAATGAGTATGAGCACCTCAATTTGAAGATCTGATATGACTAATCTCTTACCACTCATCTGGGGAAAGATTAGCCCTTTGTTTGTCAAAGTGTGGCAGGTACAATTAAAATGAAGCTGTAGCAGTCACTTAATTTTATGATTTTTTTCATACCGAGTTTAGCATTTAGATGGCGTTCTCTCACAGCTCACCTGGATGGATGGCCTGAAAACACTTTGTCCCAGAAATTGAGGAATTAATTAAAATTGGTTAGATTGTCTCGAGTGGTTTAAATGGAGTGCAGTGAATTTGCACGCATGTTTTGGCGCAACATTTAGCCTGTTCTACTTGCAGTTTAATACCAGGCAAGTACCTCTACCGTAAAGGAGAATCATTGCTCATTCATCGTCCCATATGGTTATTCTGCAGAGTTCTCAGCAGATTTTTTTATGGTCCTGCACATTGAGCATGTGATGCTGATACGCTCAGGTCACCTGGGACCTCCTTCTAACCTACTTCTTCTGTTAAGAACTACAGACGAATGGTATATTGTTTAACGACCACCACACAGCTCTTTCACAACTTAAATAAAGCAGAGCTTACTCTGTGGGTTACTGGTTACATTTCGTACTCATGTTATTAGGAGGAAAAAATGATGGCTTGGCAAACCCAGTGACCTCAGTGAGCAGAGATTACTCTGAATGAAAAGCAGAGAAGAAATTTGCACAGTAATGAGAGCGAGTGCAATGTAATGAAAGCAATGAATCCTGCAACAACTTCCATCTCCCCTTTTAGAAAACAACACACCACTCAGCAGCTCGGCAAAAACCTTACCATCCCGATGTGAAAGACGCTACATAAATGTAAATTTGTATTGTACAATAGTTTATCTTAATCTTTTTTACAGGAAAATAAAAGCATCAAACCGCTTAAGAGGAAATTTCATGCGTATGTGAAGATATAAGAGAAGGGAATAGGGGGATTGGACGCTCATGTGGAGTCTAAGCATGGGCATGGATTATTTGGACTGAATGGCCTATTTCTGTGCCATATCATTCTGTGTAATTCTGTGTAAATAGACTAACAACAACATACATTTGTATAGCACCTTTCACGTCGGGAGGACGCCCCAAGGCGCTGGACAGTGTACAAAATTTAAGACCCGAGCTCGGGGGGGGGAGAAAGGAGGGCAGGGGAAGAGGGATGGCCGATGGCATGGTCAAAGAGGAGGGTTTTGAGACGAGACTTGAAAGAGGCTAAAGAGGGGGCGAGGCGGAGTGTTTGGGGGATGGAATACCAGAGGTTGAGAGCAGAGTGGCTGAAGTCTCTCCCGCCAATGATGGGGTGGGTGAGTCGGGGAAGTGGAGCAGGCCGGAGCCGGCTGAGCAGAGGGAACGGGCAGGTTGGTAGGGGGTTAGGAGGTCGCAGAGGTAGGGTGGGGCGAGGCCATGGAGGACTTTGTAGGTGAAGACCAGGATCTTGAACTGGATCCTCTGAAGGATAGGGAGCCAATAGAGTCGGGCGAGAGTGGGGGAGATGGGGTCACGGAGTTTGGTGCGGGAGAAGACACGGGCTGCAGAGTTCTGGATTATCTGCAGCCTGTGGAGGAAGGAGTTGGGAAGGCCGACAAGCAGAGCGTTTGCATAGTTGAGCCTGGAGGTGACGAAGGCATGAACAGGAGTTTCAGCGGTCTGAGGGGTGAGGTAGTGGCGGAGTCGGGCGATGTTATGTTTTGAGTAGCAAAGCTATCCTATTGAATTATGGAATACTTGTATCTATTCTACATTCAACGTATGAGCTTAAAATGTCAGAATCATTCAGCCCCGAGAGACAGAAGTCTTTGAAGACCTATCAACACTCTGAGGATAACTTGGGGAAATACTGCTTTTTCTCTGGTCTGTACAGTATATGAATAGAAACAAACCTACCGCAAATAAATATCCGTAATATTCAGGACTTTTGCTTGATGACCTCTAACACCAACACTGTTGATGCAGTGCCTTTCTGAGAAGACTAAGTGTATGGATAGAGTTTGGGATAGGATAGATTGGATATGATCTATCGTGTGGAGCAAGCAGGGATTTCCCAACACCTGTTTTCTTCTCATGTTGTCTTACACTCAAATAGTTGAAGTCTGTTCAACAACCCAGAATACTACCTCATCATTGTCGCTAAGTGTCATATTATCCCAGTATTATCCCACTGTTGAAGAGGCAGACCAGTTACATTATATATGCATAACTCAGCCTGGTTTGGATACTCTTAAGCATGGAGATGAGGTTCTGTATGTGTCAGACATCTGGGTGAATAAAAACAAATCCTATTATATCAACTACAAAAAGTAGAGAAGAAACTAACTTGAGGGTCTCGAGTGACATCTGTAGATTATAATTCCTTTCCTGCTCCGGCAACTTGGAGAATTCTACCAGGCAAGGGTGCTGTCGCTTGTTATCCTCCCGGAGCTGAAAGATAAATGTTCAGTTCATTCTCAGTGTCATAGCTTAAGCAGTTTGTATGGTCAGAAAGAGAACTCAGTGTTATGAAATTTAAAAAAGTATCTTTGTTGCACAAATGGCAACAAATCATTTCTTGGGTTTTTACATAGCAAAGTTGTGACATTAAATCATTCAAGCTTCCTCGCATATGGGGTGAGAAAACAGAAGTTCTACCATTCAGGTCTTACAAAGGTATTGCTCGAATCACGATATAATCACTTATTGGTGAGATTACCGAACTAAAAGAATATTAAAAAGGTTATCAGATACACACTTCTCATCTCTTAGAGCACCGCAAATAAATTTACTTACTGGGGCTGCAGAAGGCAACAATGAATGTATGCATTCATAACTATCCTGGTGTTTATGCAACTTAACTGCAGGGATATTGCCATTTAATCCACATCTGCGTGAGCCAGCAATGTGCGGAATTTGTTGGCTGGAGAGACTGAAGATCTGCCAGCTCTCTGAGGATTCATTTGAGGAACTACCAGCTTTGTTCTAGTTGGTGCAGCAATTTGAATAATGTGGATTCTATGTAGTATACCGGACAGTTGTAAGGTTGAAAGGTTCAGATCATTAAAGTGAAAATGTTGCAGTAAAGTTATCTGACTTCAAAGAGGGGGAATATTCAATGATCAATGAATTTACTAATATTACCTGTATAAGCCTATATAGGAAAATCCCCTTTTATACTCACACCACTTATCAACAATTTACTGAGCAGTGGAGAGTACAATGCGGTAACACATCAAGGTCAGTAAATTTACTACCTAGGATCAGAATATCACGCTCAAAGACATGCAACTTTATTATTCTGAGACTTTATTAAAACACATTCGAACGACATCTGTCAAAATCCAGTATATTCAAAATTGATATAAATTATTCTTACAACAACTTGCACTTACATAGCTCCCTCCACGGATGATAGCTTCTCAGAGCTCTTACAGTGGTGTAGCCTGATTCCGCGCTGGTGGACGTAAGCACATTCAGGTAGGACTTGAAAGAGGGGTGAGAGTGGGCAAGGCGGAGGGTCTGCGGGAGAGTGTTCCAGAGTTTGGGGCGTAGTAGCTGAAAGCATGACCTCCACTGGTAGAGAGGAGTGTGCGAGGGACGAGCAGGAGGCCAGTGCCAGTCGAGCAGAGGTGCCGGGTGATGGAATAGGGAGTGAGGAGGTTGGAGAGGTAGGGAGGTGCCAGAGAGTGAAGGGATTTGAACACGAGTGTGAGGATCTTGAAGTTGATCCGTTCGTTGATGGGGGCCAGTGGAGCCTGGGCAGAACTGGTGAAATGTGGGTAAGGTGTTTGGTCCAGGTAAGTATGCAGGAAGCAGAGTTCTGAATGAGCTGGATCTTTTGAATAGTGGGGCTAGGGAGACCATCGAGGAGTACGTTTGAGTAATCCGGGTGGGAGGTGACAAACACATGCATGATGATTTCGGCTGCATTTGGGGTAAGGTACAGTCAGAGGCAGGCAATGTGGAGGTGGAAGAAGGTGGTCCTGGTCAGGGACCAGATGTGGGGGAGGAAGGACAGCTAGGGGGGTCAAACCGGGCACCTGGATTGTGCAAGGTGAGTCTGAGGGAGAGTTCAAGGAGGTTGAGAAGTTTAGATCTGCAGGAGTGAAGATGTTGACAGGAGCCAAGGAGTATGGCTTCCATCTTGTCCATATTCAGCTGCACGAAGTTTACACTCATCCAGGCCTTGATGTCTGCCAGACAAGCTGATAGAACATCAGCGGACCTGGACTTGATACTGGAGGAGGCAAAGTAAATTTGTGTGTCATCCACATATATATGGATGTTTACCCAATGTCTGCAGATGACATCGCCCAGAGGGAGCGTATAGATAAGGAAAAGAAGAGGGCCAAGGATGGAGCCCTGGGGTACTCCGCAGGTGACTGGGCAGGGGCAGGAGGAGAAAGCATTTGCTGAGATGAAATGGAGGTGTTTGGTTAAATAGGACGCGAACAATGCGAGTGCGATCCCACTAAGATAGATGAGGGAGGAGAGCCGACGGAGGAGGATGGCGTGGTCGACTGTGTCGAACAAGGCAGAAAGATCCAGGAGGACGAGGAGGCAGAGGGAGCCCTGGTAAAGTATTTTGTTGTAGTAGAGCCCGAAGGCAGACATTTCAATTAGTTGATTATGAAGCAGACATGTTACATTTTCTGGTGGGTGCCTGCTTCTCATAGTGGGACTCTTCATAGATAAAACAATCGGTGCTTTGTTTTACTGCGTTCATCAGCAATGCTCCACCCAAAGTTAATAATTAATAATGGGCTCCACCTTGCAATAATTACAGTTCTCAGCCAGGCAGATAGACTTACACAAACTACCGATGCACTATTTACATACCGGCCCATAGGTCCAGCCCAGCTCAATTTTGTTCATCACCCAGAGTTCATGAATGTTCTCGGCAAGTTTCTCTCGAATTCGTTCCAGATGAGGTGGCAACACAACCTGAAATGTGTGCAGGTAAGAGGAGTCAAGCCCCATCTTCCAATATATTATTACACTAAAAATTCAATACAGGTACACAGTATAATCATCAAAGAGATTGGAGTACTGATTTTTCAAGTGCCTGCCACATGTGGAAATCGATCACGATGCTTAAGCGTATCCAAACCACGCTGAGAATTCCACATATGCCACCCAACATGAAAATTTCTCTATGCCTGGAATGGAATGTGTTACTCTCTTCCTGGACAGACGCATTCTACTTACCTAATTCCAGAAAATATTTGAGGCAAGCTTGTGATAGTTAAGGTTTAGGGACCCCAAGTCTTGTTGGATTACTGCTGAAGTTTAACAGCGAAAACTGCATAGCTTGCAATGCATTGTTTAGTAAGCTGCTTACTACTTGTCCAGCTCAGACCACCCTACCTGTTAGGGCTTTGGATTGCAGGCCTAATAGGAGCCAGGTGGGAAGCGCCCCGCCCCCAGTGACTGGTTTGCCCGTCCAAGACCAGCTGATGAGCCAGGCCTGTTCAATGTGTTATCAGCAGTTCCCTGGAGGACCATGGAGCCATCTCATGGAGGAATACTGAATGATTTCAGTCTGTCAGACATTGAACATAATTTCTTACACGTTACAGATGGTAAAAAAGGTCAAGATGAATCCTGTCCGTCTCAAGGCTGGCCTTAACCCGGATTAATTAACTCACTCCTGACTCATAACCTGGTTTGCAAAATAATTCTATAGTCAGTGGCTAAAGTCACAATGTAGACGTGTTAAAAGCAACAGGAGTTTCTTGCAATCTCCATGGACTCTTTAATGGGCATCAGTTTAGCGGTTGGAATGCTTTCATTTGATTGATTACCTACACTGGTCAAATCTTCCAATGAAGGTTTTGTTGTGAAAGCTTCAATTGATGCTATTCCCTATATAATAAAGAGCCCAGACTATCAGGAATATAATTGCAATGGCACCACCAGTAAACCAATGGCCTAACTGAACTACAGGGGAATCTACAGCAATTCCTAAGGTCGGGTGCCCAAAACCAAACATAAAACTCCAAATGTTGTCTATCTGGTGCTTTATACAACTTTCTTGCAATTACTATCTCACATGTGCCTACATTGAACTCCATCTGCCTTATCTCACACAATCGATTCACCTATTTCGCTTCCACATTTTTGCTTTCCTCTTCACAATTCTCTACACCTCCAAGCTTAGCATCACAACAACAATTTATTTTTGTATAGTGCCTTTCACGTTGGGAGGATGCCCCAAAGCACTGAAAACCTTGCCCTCTATTCCTATATTCAGGTCATTACTATTTTAGAGTAAAGGGCTGAGGACATGGAGTGTCACAGACAATGAACCCTTTGGACACCACTAGCACTGCTCACTTTTCAGAGATCTCTTTTGTCCCAAATCTCTACCTTCAACCGAGCAACCAAATTCCTATTTATGCCACTGGTTTGCCTTCAACTCACTGCGCCTTAGCCGTAGCTAATAATCTCCCATGTGCAACCTGATGAAAAAATCTTCTGATAATCATTTAAATGATACATCCTTCCTTCTCTGTCTACCATCTCTGTGGATCTACAAAACCACTGTTAGGTTCGTCAGATGTGACCTACCTTTTACAAACCCATGCTCACTTTCCCTGATTAGGGTAACAAAGTGCTCAGTTACTCTTCCCAATGACAGATTCTAGTAATTTTCTCACTACTGATGTTAAACTCACTAGCTATAATTTGTCCTTTCATATCTTTATTCTCTATTGAGAAAAATGAGAAAAATATTCATTCGGCCACATTTTTGTCCTCCATTATTGTCATACTCAAGTTGCTATTTACTGGGCTTGCTTCTTGCTTGATCTTGACGTACTTCCAAAACCATTTGTTACTATCTTTATATAACCTACAGTTTATTTTCCTCCAATCTTATTGTTTACTTCGTCCTCTCCTTTGTGTCTTCAGTATATGTCACTTTCTTTCACCACTACCCAACCCAAGCCTTTCCCTTTCGGTTAATACTGATCTGAACCATATTGTTAAACCATTTTAGTTGTTTCATACAGAAGCACAACCTTTCCCTTCCAGACTATGTACTTTTATGGAACCACAGAGGTGGTCGATAGAGGAGGGTGTATGATTTACATGGATTATCAGAACTCAACATGGCTCAGTTGAAAGAGCATTTCAACTGTGTGCAATAGCACTTTCATGTCTGAGTCAGAAGTTTGTGAGGCTTTTGACCTCACAGTCGAGACTGACATTCCAATGCAGTGCTGGAGGTGTGAAGCATTTTGAGATTCCCTCTAACATGAAAGGTAGGGGTTTGCTGCACAAAATGGAAGTATTATTATTGAGATGCACATGGGAGATTCTGTATTCTACTTTAAATAGATTCCATGCTTCTCACTTGATTTATCAACCAACTTTTCAATGTTATCATAATCAATTCCTTCCTCATCCTTCCAAAATTGACATAATTTAAGTATAAAATCTTGCTTTTTGATCCTTGTTTCCCACTTTCACATCTCCTACAAAAGCAATTCAATCATATTATAATCAGTATTCCCAAGATGCTCCATTGCCACCACATCGCTAATTATTTCTGTTACATTATTCATAATTAAATTGAGAATCGCCTTCTCCTTTATTGCATTTAAGACATGCTATTTGTTAAAAAAAGATGTAATAATCCGTTAGGGAATTCCGCATCCTTTCCTTCTTGGGGTGTTGTTGCTCTTCCAATCTTTACATAAGCTAAAATCTCCCATTATTATCACTCTTCTTCCTACAAGCTTTCCTTATCTATGTATACATATGTATACATTGCAAACAGAACTATAAAAAACCTCCACTACTGTATTAATTATTTTCCAATTTCTTAGCTTTATCCATATTGATTCCACCTACTTTAAACCCTTCCTTTCAACTGCAACAGTGTCTGTTATTAATATGGTTATTCCTCCCCCACTTTCCAAGTATCTATACTAAAAATTAAAATATTCTGTTATTTTAATCCCATTGATTTACAGCCCACAAGATATACAGTCAATTCACTTTACAGTATATTCTGTGAAACGCTTTGAGTTTCTCAAAACTCCATAAGGCTCTATATCAAATGCAAGGGTTATTATTATATTTCTGCCCAGGCTGTAGTCTACACAATCTGTAATTTCTACTTTGCATTTTTCTTCCCTAGCTTCTAGTTGTAATATTTATTTCTAGGTTAGGCATATTCCTAGCCCAATAACATACAATACTTAGACAACTCGGTTTCAAAAAGAAATTGTGATCATACTAAGCTGGAAGATTCAGCACAGCCACCGGTCATTTGGTCCAAGATCTTTTATAATAACAGGTTTGTGAAGCAGCATAATGCTACCAGGATCCCCCAAAGAAGGCATAAAGCTTTGAGCTCAATGCACATCAAATAAACTGATTTCATTGACATAAAACAGAATTGATATGGGTGCAACCAAATGAAGTTGACCTACAACTCGAGAACAGCACCAACATTACATGAGGATGCTCCAATCCCAGCCTCTAAATGGGCCAGTGCATAACTTCCCCATTTAGAGTGCTGACCCTGCTAAATCTATGGAATGTGAAGCAGACCAGAAAACAAAAGAAAGCAGAGCTTTACGCTGAGAACTGAGATGATTATATTGATCCTCTCTGACTCTGTGAAGATTTCAATAACATTCAAATGGCTTTTCAAGCTTGAGAGCTTCGCTCACAATGTGAAACATCTCAGTCCAAATAATCTATAATGTATACATACTGTGATATTCCCTTGTAACATGCAGGGGCTGACTTATGCTGATAGCTTTACACAGAATTTTGTTTCATTATGCCTCAATAAAGCAATTTCCCATGTTGAAGACAGCAGGGGAAAAAAAATCATTATAAATTAGTAAATTAGAACACAGGGTGTATTGAACTCTGCCATGAGTACTGTTCAAATCATGCATTATCCAAACCCATTCTATTCCAGATACAGGGCAATTAACAAGTGTAGGTGGCATACATCTGTTGACTCAGTCTGGTTTGGATACTCTTAAGCATGGTGATGTGTTTCCTCATGTGTCAGACACTTGGCTGGTCAGAAAAAAATATATAATTACCACAATCTGAAATATGTTCAAGGCCTCTTGGAGTTCAAGTCATATTGATAAGTTATAAGATCTACATCATGGTCAGCCAGGTATCTGACACATGCAGAAACCATGCTTAATTGTAGCCAAGCCAAACAGAGTTCCACACATGAAGGCTGCAATACATGGAAATTCCCTTGTCTGGAATGGAATCGGCACTCTCTTCCGTAGGCACATATGCTGCTTACCTAATTCCAGAGAGTATTACAATTTATGTACCACCTTTCACATTGGGAGGATACCTCAAATGCTGGGGGACCCCAGAGTGTGTTTTATAGTATTGCTGGAGTTTAACCAGCTTAAACCACATAGCTTGCCATTGAGAGCACTGTCTGGCAAGCTTTCCTGTTGTTTGTCCAGTTAGAACCACTCTACCTGTTTGGGCTTTGGTTTGTAGGGTTAACAGGAGCTGAGTGGGAAGAATTCCTGAGTGATTGGTCCGCCTTTCCAAATCCTGCTGACGGGCCCCAGCTTTTATGGCTGCATTATAAATGAGAACTGAAAATATACCTATTTTTAGCAGTCACCATATGACCGACCACAATGTCATGTGAACATGAAATGCAGCAATACTGTGTGCACCACTGCAAATTCACTAAGAATTGTTCAAATGCTTCACTCTGGCAAAAGATTCTAGATGTAAGAGGTACATCTGATTTGTTGCAAATTAAATGGATAATACAAAGTACTACAGATTTACATTTGTGTTGCCATTACAGGTGGAATTTTCCAGTTAAATATGAAGCTACAAAGATACCCTACCTGGCTAGTATCCACAGGCATTGGTGTGAAGGCTGCTTGAGTGAGTGAAAGGGTAGGACCCAAGAGGTCCCTGATGCCATGATGATCCTGCTTGTATTCCTTTGTATGCTCCACTCTCATCTTCTCTTTTGGCAGCAAAGCTTCAAAGCACGGGGCATAACCAGGAGGAGGGAGGAATTTAAACTCACCATGACGACCTCCAAGTAAAAAACGGACCCTGGAAGAGAGAGGCATGGTCGTGTGCATGTCAAAAAACTGAAATAAGCAAAAAGTAAATGTAAAATATAGCTTGATAATTACCAGACAAACTAAAACCCCTTTACAGAAGCCATCCTGGGATTTCTAATCTGACTGTAATAAATTGTATCAATTTAGATCTAATATGTATGAGCTGACTATTCTGAGCTGTTTACGACGTGGTATGAGAAGGAAGTCAAAACAGCATCACCATTCAACTTCATAGCACTGACTAACACATTCTAACTGCAGGGACTACAGGGACCAGAACACAGGGAATTTCTAATCACAATGTATTTTGTGTTAGCCTGACTCAGTGGTAGCGCTCTGGCCCCTGAGTCAGAAAGTTATGAGTTCATCAGGACTTGAAATTCGTATTGCCTAGGCTGATATTCCAATGCAGAGTTGGGGGTGTACTGTATTGGCGGAGCTGTTGTCCTTCAGATGAGATGTTAAACCAAGGTCTAGTCTCCCTATTCAGGGGATTGTTAAATATTCCATGGCACTATTCGAAAAGAGGAAGAAACTTCTCCTAGTGTCCGGGCCAACAATCCCGCAAAATATTGGTCATTCACTTCATGCCTGTTTGTGGGACACTGTTGTGTGAAAAATTGGCTGCTGCATTCTCCCACAAACACACAGTAACTACACTTTACAAGGTATCCTGTGAAGTGCTTTGAGATATTCTCCCAACATGAAAGGAGTTGTACAAAATGTTAGGATTATTATTATTAATAATAAAAAATTTAAAAATGTTATATAAAGGAGCTTGCATTGGGTGTTCTTTACATATGAACACACGCACATGAAAGTCTATTTCTGTGCCAGCTGAGAAGAAATAGCTTGGCAAAAGCTGGGTTTCAAAACAATACACTTAAGTGGATTCATCTACCAGGTCATCAGGGTGATAGCAGCCTAGACCTTCACTGCTAGCAATGCATCCCTCAAAAAAAATTAGGTCACTCACTTCACTACTGTTTGTGGGACACTGGTGTGCGCAATTCGTTGCTGCGTTTCGCCCACAAAATTCACAGTCACTATATTTTAAAATCTATTTTGTGAAGCACCTTGAGACATCTCAATGACGTGATAAGGCGCCATATCAAATGCAAGGATTATTATTATCTTAGTTAAACCAATCAGGAACTCTTTGAATGCACCATCGCTACAAGCATAATATCCCACTGACTGTCCCTGATTCACTATTAATAGAGTTGAAAAAGAACTAGCTTTTTCTTAAAAATTAAATATCTTGGGACATCCAATTTGACCACTCAAGAACATTTTGTATGTTAAACTTCGAATTGTTCGAATCTGGAACGCATTGCCTGAAAGGGTGGTCGAGGCCAATTCGGTAACTACTTTTAAAAACGCGGTGGATGGGTATTTGAAGAGGACGGATTTGCAGGGTTATGGGGAAAGGGCTGGGGAGTGGGATAGACATTAATTGTTCTATTCAAAGAGCCGGCACAAACTCGATGAGCCGAATGTCTTCTTTTTGTGCTGTACGATTCTATGATTCAATGACTTCCCTCTCACACAAGTCACACTTGTAGTTGAGTCAACAATGTAACACAGCCTCTTCTCGTAGCCTCCCTGTAGTTATACAACAACAACTTGCACTTATATAGCGCCCTCCACACATGGTAGCATCTCAGAGCGCTTAACAGTGGCGTAGCTTGATTCCGAGCCAGAGGGAGGTGGGAGGTGGCCGTAAGCACGGTCGAAGAGAAAAGTTTTCAGGTGGGACTTGAAAGAGGGGAGAGAGGGGGCAAGGCGAAGGATTCAGGGAGTCTTCCAGAGTTTTGGGGCGTAGTGGCTGAATGGTGGGGCGGAGGTTACAAGGGACAAGCAGGTGGCTGGTACCAGTCGAGTGGAGTGAGGAGGTCGGAGAGCTAGGGAGGTGCCACGGGAGTGAATGGATTTGAACACGAGTGTGAGGATCTTGAAGTCGATCCGTTCGGTGATGGGGAGTCAATGGAGCCTGGCCAGAACTGGTGAGCTGTGGGTATAGAGTTTGGCGCAGGTCAGTATGCAGGCGGCAGAATTTTGAATGAACTGGATCTTGTGAATGGTGGAGCTGGGGAGACCGGCGAGGAGAGCATTGGGAGTAATCCAAGGGGGGTGACAAACGCATGCACGAGGGTTTCGGCTGCATTTGGAGTAAGGTAGGGTCAGAGGCGGGCAATGTGGCGGAGGTAGAAGAAGGTGGACCAAGTCAGGGACACGATGTGGGAGAGGAATGATAGCTGGGAGTCGAACTGGACGTCTAGGTTGTACACTGGTTTGGTGAGTTTGAGGGAGAGCCCAGGAAGGTTGAGGAGTTTAGATCTGCAGGAGTGAAGACATTGATGGGAGCCAAGGATTATGGCTTCCATCTTGTCCATATTCAGCTGAAAGAAGCTTACACTCATCCAGGCCTTGATGTCTGCCAGACAAGCTGATAGAACAGGAGCACGAGGAGGCAGAGGGAGCCCTGGTCACAGATAAGAGAGGATGTCATTTGTGACTTTGTGACTTTGACAAGAGCTGTCTCTGTTCTGTGGGCAGGACAAAAACCAGACTGCAGGCGCTCCAGGAGGGAGTGGAGGGAGAGGTGTGACCAAAGTTGACCTGCAACAATGCATTCCATGACTTTGACGAGGAAGGGTAGGTTAGAGATGGGACGGTCGAGTGAGAGATTAGAGGTATTGAGGGTGTGTTTTTTGAGGCAGGGTGTGATAACAGCGGTTTTGAGGGAGGTGTGGAACAGAGCCTGAGGAGAGAGTTACATTGAGGGTTTGCACCAGATCAACGTGAAAATTGTAATGAACTGAAGCAGACTCTGCAACAAAAATGTCCGATTAGCCAGTTTCAAAATATAATATTTGTATTTGATATAGAGTGTTATCAAATTCAAACGTTACAAAGCATTTCAGAGTTTTCTGTCAAATGAACTGACTATATATTCGTAGGTGAATTTGTAGCCAATTTGCACACAGTAATGTCCCACAAATAGCTTTGAAGTGAACGACCAATTTTATCTGGGGGATTGTTGGCCAGGGCACTGGAAGAAACTCTCTTCTCTTTTCTCGAATACTGCCGCAGGATCTTTAGCATTCATCTGATCAGGCAAGCGGAACCTCAGTTTAATATCTCATCTGAAAGATGGCACCTCTGACAATGCAACACACCCCACTGTGCTAGAACATCAGCCTAGACTATGAATTCAAAATTCTGACGTGAGGCTTAAACCCACAATCTTCTGCCTCAAAGGGTATTACCCACTGAGCCAGGCTGTCATAATCACTGTGAGCGCCACTTGGAAATATATAGTTGATAAACTCGCTTGGAGATAGACAGTTTTCTTAGTTCTGCATTCTCAAACATTGCAAAGGTGTCACTGAATGCATCGTTCAATTAGCAGGTGAACATGGAATAATGGACTAACTTTACTCCTGTGGAGAAGCTGACCACCGGGAAGAAGAGCCCATCTGTATTGAAATTTTCAAACATTCCCTGAACCGGCTGCCCATTAATTCGGAAGGAAATGCTCGGAGCGCTCAAATCCAGACAGCAACTGATCACATCATCATCTCTCAACAAGTGCTGATTTGGTGAATTTACTGTTCGTGCAATGCAGCCTGTGGGGAAAAAAAGGAAAATGTCAAATCATTCTCATAAATCTGCCCCATTACCAACATCCACAAACTGAACTTGGTTGAACTGCTGTGAAAACGAGGAACTTCAAAACATACAGTTCAACCTGTTCATCTGATTGAATCTATGAAAACTTTGCCGTCACTCGCCCTTTCTTTTGTTCCAGCATCTCATTAACTGGACTCCAATTCAGAATATGAGATACATATTTTCACACACACACACCAGCAAGCAGCTCATTTTATTAAGACTTATTTATCCAGTAATACTGAAGTCATATCACTGTGGCATTTGAGCTGCATGCTGCCAGATCTATTCTAAACAACATTCTTCCTGTGGGAGCAATAGCACAAATGTATAACATTTGTGTAAATATCCTGGACATCTCCACACCTTTCAACAGCACCTTTAGTTTCCCTGTAATTGTTCTGCCTTATATTCGCCAGGGTTGTCCTTTTGTCACGAACTTGAAGGCAAGATGAATTTGGTATTTATTTTTAAATCAATTCAGACATCACCCACCCACTTCACTGGAGCAATAGACAACAACAAAATTACATTTGTACAGTGCCTTCCACATCAGGAGGATGTCCCAAGGCTCTGGACATCAGTGTTTCAGACCTGAGCTAGGGGTCGAGTTTGGGGAGGGTGGAGCAGGGGGAAAGAGGATGACCGAAAGCACGGTCAAAGAGGAGGGTCTTGGGACGGGTTTTGAAGCAGGCAAGGGAGGGGACGAGGTGGAGGGACTGCAGGATGAAGTTCCAGAGGGTGGGAGCAGAGTGTCTAAAGGCCCGCCCGCCAATGGTGGGGTGTACGAGGCGTGGGACATGAAGCAGGCCGGAGCCCGCTGGGTGGAGCAGGCAGGTTGGTAGGCGGTTAGGATGTCACAGAGGTAGGGGGAAGCAAGATCATGGAGGACTTTGAAAGTGATCTTGAACTGTATCCTCTGTGTGATGAGAAGCCAGTGGACTCGAGCGAGGATGAGGGTAATAGGGTCACGGAACGTGACGTGGGAGAGGACACAGGCTGCAGAGTTCTGGATGATCTGCAGCCTATGGAGGGAGGAGTTGGGGAGGCCGACAGGCAGGGGGCAAGCTGACAGGTAGGGGATTTGCGTGGGTGTTATGAATGTGTGTATGAGGGTCTTGGGAGCCTGTGGTGTGAGACAGTGGAGGAGCTGGGCGATGTTGTGGAGGTGGGGGAAGGCAGAGCAGGTCATGGCATGGATGTAATGTAGAAAGGATAGTTGAGGTCAAACAAGACGCCAAGGTTCCAGACTGGCTTAGTAAGGTGGAGTGTGCATCCTTGAGTGATGATGCTGTCAGTGCCTGAAGTGCGGAGGCACTGACGAGAGCCAACCAGGAGAGCCTCAGTCTTGTTGACGTTCAACTGCAAGAAGTTAACTCTCATCCAGGATTGACTTGATGTCTGACAGACATTCTGTCAAGTCAGCAGCGGTCCTGAAATCAAGGGTGCAGGCAAAGAGATAGAGTTGAGTGTCATACATGTGGAAGTTGACCCCATGTCTGCGGATGATGTCACCAAGAGGGAGCATGGAGATATTGAAGAGGAGGGAGCCAAGTACAGAGCCCTGAGGAACGCTGCACGAGACGGTGCGGGGCTAGAAAACCAAGCCATTTGTGGAGATGAAATGGACACTGCATGAGATAGGATCTGAACCATTCAAGGACAGAACCATTGAGGTGAGAGGAGAGGCGGTGGAGGAGGATAAAATGGTCAACAGTATCGAAGGCAGCAGAGAGGTCAAGGAAGACGAGGAGACACAGGCAGCCCTAGTCGCAGATGGACAAAATTTCAAGTGTCACTTTGTTCAAAACTGTTTTTTTGCTGTGGGTGGCACAGAAACCCAATTGGAAGGGTTTGTGAAGGGAGTCACGGGAGAGGAAGGAGCGAAGCTGGGAAGCAATGACTCATTCCAGGACCTTGGCAAGGAAAAGAAGGTTGAAGATGGGGCGGTAGATTAATAATAATAATCCTTGCATTTGATATAGCGCTTTTCACGTTGGGAGGACGTCCCAAAGTGCTTCACAGAACACACTGTAAAGTGAATTGACTGTATATTTGTGGGCGAACGCAGCAGCCAATTGCGCACAGCAATGTCCCACAAACAGTCGTGGATTGAAAATGACCAATTTATTATTTGTTTTGGTTTTGGAGGGATTATTATTAGGCTCTGTGTGGAGTAAGGAAACTTGCCCAAGGTTTCGCCCTGCCTGGAATTGAACTCAGGTCTCCCACTTGCAAAGCGAATACTCTAACCACTGAGCTACAGGATGGGTCCAGGGAGGGTTTTTAAAGAATCAGAGTGATGACGGCTGCTTTTAAAGGGGTGGGAATGGTGCCAGTGGACATGGAGAGGCTTATGATGTCTGTGAGTAGAGTAGTGAGAGAGGAGGGCGAAACAGGTTGGAAGGTGTGGAGGGTGGAATGTGTACGGGTCGGGGTTTGAGGGAAAGATGGGGAGGGGGTAGTCATCGGAAGGGCAGAGGCAACTGAGCGGATCCCCTCGACTTTGGTTTCGAGAAAGTCCAGCAACACCTTGCAGTTGGCATTTGAGGTGAAGATTGATGAGGCATGAGAGGGTGGGCAGAGGAGCCGGTTGGTGGTGGAGAAGAGGAGCCTTGGGTTGTCCTTGGCTTCCAAGATTGTCTTGGAGAAGACAGACGATTACTGGAAGCAAGCGAGAAGCAGTAAGGTCCAACCAGATCAGCTGATGGACCGTTAAGTTAGATTTGAGCCACGTGCATTCAGTGTGCACCTGTGCCTTGAAGGAGCAGAGGTGTCTGGTGTACAAGGTGGCTTCTGTGAGTGGAAGGCTTTTCGGGAAGAGAGGGGAGCAAGGTCATCGAGAGTGGTGGAGAGGGAGTTGTGGAAGAGATTCACCAAGGAGGGCAGGTCATTGTGGGAGGAAGCCCAGTGGGGGAGGAGTTCAGATGACTCCAAGACAGCGGAGAGGGAAGGAAGATGGATTTTTTTCCAGGTGTGGTAGGAGATGGAGGTGGGTTGGATGGTGGTGGGGAGAGGGATTGAGGAGTTAAGGGAGATAAAGTAATGGTCTTTGTCGGTGATGGTGAGGTCCAAGATGCTGAGGCCCCGGGTAATCACCAGGTCAAGCGCATGGCCATGGACATGGGTGGCAGAGTGGACGTGGAGGGAGAGGTTGTGAAAGGCACATTAGAAATGTAATGTTGTTGTTGTGAGAGGAGAGGAGAGAAGTCAGCTAATATAGAGCAGGAGGGAGTGAAGTCTAGGTTGAAGTTGCCTAGGATGAGGAGTGTTCGGTGCAGAGGGAGAGGGAAGATAGGAGGGTAGAGATGTCCAAGAGGAAGGGGGACGATAAACAAGAAGGATTTTGAGGGAAAGGTTGGAGGGATGGTAGAGGTTAAGGTGTTCAAAGGAGGGGAAGGTTCCGGAGGAATAAGGGGATAGGCAGAGTGGGGATCAGGGGATGAGAGCCACACCACAACTACGGCGGTTATATCATGAGGTATGGTGGAAGGTGTAGCCGGGTGATGTGGCCTCGGTCAGGGGCTCATTTGGGTTGATCCAGGTTTCAGTGAGGGGAAGGAAGTCGATGTTTTCGTCGACAATGAGGTCTTGGATGGTGAGCATTTTGCTAGAGACGGAGAGGACATTTTGTAGGCCGACATGGAGGGGGCAACTGGTGGTGAAGGAATGGGATGGATGAGGGAGGGGGGAGGGAGAGGATTGACAGGGAGGGTGGGGATGTGGATAAGGGAGGAGAGGTTGGCCCATGAGTCAGGGACCGATGGGCCTTCCAGCGGAGGTGGGGGATGGAGTAGTCAAGGTGGCTGCTGTTGGACAGCCAGCGGCATCTGCCATGGTGGGCACAAGAGAAGATTCTCAGGCTGGAGCAGAGGGAGGCTGTGGGACGGTCAAGCAGGGATAACAGGCGGGGAGGCTGGTGAGAGAGAAGGATTGAGCAGGAGTAATGGAGGGTAGAGGACAGGGGTGGGAGAAGCACCGCAGGTTCCCACTCGTCTGGACTGCAAAAACACTTTTTTCCCCTGTTTTTTCAATCCTGCTTGGGGCCGGCCGCATGATTCCAGCCTCCTGTCTAATGCCATTTTTCGTCCCATAACATTATAGTGCAAAATATTTATCCTGTTACATTATAATTACAAAATGAATAGTATACATTTAAAGAAAGACAAAATCGTGCCCGTATGTTTAGCAGCTTTCACCTGCAAAAGATTCCTGTGATGCTCTGAGACTTCTTCCTGATGTAAAAGGCGCTACATTAAACGCAAGGATCATTTTATCCACCTGTGATGGTCAAAGACACTAATTCTAGCTGAACATGATTGTTTGACAAAACCAAATTTATGTCCTACAACTCAAGTTCGCTCTTTCTTTTCTTTTTATGAAATGTGTCAGATTGCTCTAATCTGTTGAGAATGTACATGTTTACACCTGTCACATGATGGAATGGTGAGCAGACTCTTTACTCACTGCTAGAGCCCGTTCGACACTGTCCACTGAATACACACCCAGGGAATTATGCACAGAAAAAATAAAAACTATGCAAGCAAAAAATTAAAATTATGTAAAATTACACTACAATGGAAATACAGGTTATTACAGCTTCTTTAGAAAGATATGAAGGACAGTTTACAGGAATTTTGTATTCATATAGCGCATTTATGTATATTTATACAGCTCATTTTTGTATTTATTTATGATTCATACCTCCCACTCCGGCTTTCTTCCCTTTGCAGTCTGGGCTACCTCAGGAGACAGCTTGCAGAGCGATGGGAAGAGAGACGGACCGGGAGGTGTGAGGTAGTTTGGCCATATTATGCAATGTTACCGCGAAATTACACAGGCACATAATTGCATAATTCCCTGGGGTCTAACTGGGGCTGTTCATGTTGTTCAGATCAATTATTAAAATGCTTGTTAATTAATTTATTTGGCACCAGTAGGGAATGACAACATAACAGTACATTTGTTATTTAGTGCAGCAAATGTGGTGGAGGTGAATGGTGACCCCTCACCTTGTCTTCCCTCAATACTGTTCTGAACAGCAAAGTTCATGAAACCATACCCCGACACCATTGGGATCATAGATTTGACCTTTTGACTGCTGGTTAACAGAAAATACTGTTTTGTTTATTGTTTTGTGTCTTACGTTAACCACTTGCTCAGGTGCCCTCCAAGCACCGAAGATCATGTGAGGCAACCCCCACTCCCATTGTGAAATGCAAATTGTATCGTATTACAAAAACTAAATGAAATTCATTGTATATTTTAAGAATGCATTTACACAATGCATTTTCAAATTCACTGTTTATACCGTTGTGATACTGCTCTTTTGCTCTTGTTCATCAATCCAGAAAACTAATTTCCACACAACTAATTTCAAATCCTCCCTAAATTAATTATTCAATTTTACCTGCTTCACCCAAGCTGATACTGATCAATTCTTTTTAATTTTAAAAGCTGACTATTCTCCGAAATGTTTCATAATTCTGGAAAGACATCAAATGTAACACAGTGACAAATCTGAGGTCACAAATGGCATTATATTAAAAAAAATTGTGTTTTCATCCAAAGTTTGCACATATTGTATCTCTTATCTGGATCCACGTTCCTTATAAAGTACTAGCTGTACCCAATTAATATTGCCTCAATTAACAATGTTCAACAATTCAAATTCAAAGATGTCCTTCAACCAAATGTATTTTTCATGAACCAATGTGCTGCAAACAAGGGGCAGAGGTCAAAGTAATATGATAGAAAGGGACCCCAGGCAGGAGAAGCAATGTGTGAGACTTCACCAGTCATATTCCTTGCTAATTTCTGGATTGATGAACAAGTTGTTTAAATCCGAGTTGTGCTGATAGCCCATGAGGTAAGCATGTTCAAACACACACAGGTGCCCATACTAGGTAATTAATCACTACTGAAGAGGATGACAAGGTAATTATTTTCATTGGTTCATGATATTAAGGGTCATCTGTGTTCAATTCAACATGGTTTGTGGTGATGGTGATGTCATGACCAGGAAATCTGCAAACTCAATTGAATACTCGTTTGAATGGTGACTGAATGTCTGTTGGAATGTTGCCTTTGTATTTGCATGTTATTGATTCGGTCATTTACACCCCACAGGTAGCAAGAACAAGAACACTGTCTCCATTGAAGGATGTTGTTGCTGTCTGAAGGGGGCCTGATTTGCATGAAAACTCATTGTAAGAATGTGTACTGTGTGAGAGTACAAGGGAACAAAGGGATAAAGACATTAAGTGTTGGAGCAGGCAGAGAATTGCATCTTGGAGGGACTTGTAACAAAGTGGGTCAGCTAGTTCCTCTGCTCAAACCGTACGTGCAAGCGTTTTATTTATTACGACTCCAACTTAACTTAAGGCTTTGGGAGTGTCGTCAAAATATATGCTTATGTCCTTTAAATATTTTAAATTTATTTCGAGAAGTGTGTATTCTAAATTTGTTAATATAAACGGGATACTTGTTTTGCTCTCCCGACTTGAAAAGCTCTTACTCTAATCACTGAAGCATTGGGTATAAAATACCAAACTATGTAACAGGATGGCCTGCAGTCCAGAACCACATTTTAGATTGACGTATGCTCAGGTTCAACTGCTACAACTCTTCAGTCCTTGGTGTGAATGTGACATTGCTAACTTTTCCTCAGACCGCATCAACATCAGAGCATTTCCTCTTCTTCTGCTTCAATCATGACCTTTCAGAGAACTGACAGACCAATGACATCTCTCCAAACTACCTGAATGATACGAAGAAGCAGTAACATTGTCAACCTCTCCCCCAGGAGCTCATTCTATAATCTGAGGTCCTTAATGGGTCAGAAACATTCCATTTTACAAAGCCACACATTACTGGAGCTACTGCTTCACTGAGGTCAGAGTTTCAGCTGCAGCAGAGAGATGATAGACCATTTTTTTAAACAACTTTAGTGGAGATAAAGTGAATCTTTCCTCTTTGGCACAAAAAGAGAAAGAGAAAGTGGAAAATATATGGAGGGATGGAATTTTCCATAAATTTTCCAATTTTACATAGAATCTTACAGCACAGAAACAAGCCATTCATCTGGGTAGTTTGTGCAAGGTGTAATATGGAGGGATATAACATTTGTCTGGTTCAATAAAGCAAGCTGATATTTCCTCATAGATTTTCAAAAAGCATGAATCTTGTGAAATTGATTTGGAGCTACCACAAGCCAGTTCTACATTTGGATCAGCTCAAAGCACAAAACTGCCCTTAACTGAGCATTCACTGGCAATCTCACACAGAAGATATTACAGGAAGCTTGGTTTAGGAAATTGAAAATATAAAACTTTTTTTGACTTTCCCTGATTTTTTTTCACATATTCCAGAATTGAATATACAGAACCAACCACACGTGGATTCACTTGTGGTGCTCTCACCCCTGGGTCAGTAGGTCATGTGTTCAAGCTACACATTGGGATATGAGAATCTCGGTACTCTGATTCTCCAGTGTTGCACTGTGGAACATTACATTATCAGAGTTACCATCGTTCAAATCAAAAGTTCATCCAAGGCCCATCTGCCTCTTCTTCAGATGAACATTAAAGAACCCACAACACTGTTTGTGAAATGTTGTTTTAACAAGATTTTTGCCAAATATCTTCCAAATGATTTGATCTTTGATTTCCTGCTTGTTGCACCCACAAAAAATATTGGATCTTGCTGGTACAAATGGCTGTCATCTTTTCCCACAAATACAGGGCATCACAGTAATTGTCATATGTTATCAATAGTTAATTAAAATTCTTGTGTGAAAATTGGTGAAGTCAGCGCCTGATCAGCAATATATGATGTAATATGTCTAACAACGTGTGTGATCATATTGCTTTGCCACATAATAATATAATAATAATAAAAATGTGGTAGTCGGTAGAGCTGTTGATATATTCCATCCAATACAGAGAAAAGAAACTGAACACCATTATGAGGCTTCAGCTTCAAATAAACGGTCAAGCTTTAACTCATTGATAAATCTTGACAGCAGTTGGTACCTGTCCATAGAGTGATTTACTCTGAATTAAGCAACGCTACATACCTGACCACAAATGCAGTCCATCAAATCCGTAGGAGTAAAGGTCATCTCCTATACCATTGCCTCCCCACCCTTCACCCCCTCCAGGGTACGGGGAATAGCCATCTGTTGAAGCCCAGCCAACTCGAAGGTGGGTCGCTTCTGCTGTTATGAAAGGGTCAACATGGTCCACAATCAGCTCGTAGTACCACTTCCTGTACTGAGCCGCACCATCACTGATCCCAAGATATATATTTGGCCGCATACTGGAGGAAACAAACAAAAACAGTCTCACCATTTCCAGCAAAGAAACAGCATCTCTTTCTCATACTGTACCATAAAATATATGAACTGCTTAACACAGGTAGTGCTTTTCTTGTGTAGGTGGCAACAAGAGGATCATTTTCACTGGTCCAGGCAATGCAAGTCAAAAGCTCTGTGATAATTAAAAGGAAAAGCAAAATTTCCCAAAAATAATATTTTCTCATATTAATTTACATTAACAAAGTTTGAGTTAAGAGGAAAACATCTCCCATATACAGCGATTGACTGCAATCAAATACATTTGAAGTAAGTCCCCTAATTTCATAAAATGGAAAGTATGATTTGTGTTTTATTTCATCACTGTTATTTTCACAAGGAATTAAGCCACAGTTATCTGGTAAACATGAGTATAGGCGAAGGGAAAAAGTGGTGTGGAGACCCCACGCAGAGTGTAAACACTGGCACAGACCAGTTGGACTGAACAACATACTTCTGTGTTGTATCATTCTATGTAACATGTAAAGTGCTGCAATTCTGTTGCCAGAGTGGATGGCTTATCTTTTTTAATGGACTGAATGAGAATTTGGGAATAGATTCCCCACTAACAAATTTTGAGCTTATCAATCAGTCATAAACCCCTAAAACAAGAGCAGTTTTTGAATACCAAAAACTTCCACAAAATAACACTTTAAGAAGTAACCCATTCACAAGAAGACTGTTTCAGTAGAGGGATTATGTTACGGTTCTCACTGATCTCACAATTGGAAACGGTAAGGATGATAATTCCAGATATATCCCGCAGGGACTAATAATGTGGCATTTCACAGCAAAAGAGACTCCTGCCGTAACTGGAAGAATGTCACCACTATCTTCAGGAACTCTGCACTGATACAGTCTAGTTCCAGAGAGGAGATCCGGACTACACAGTCTACAATCTAGTAATGGATTATGGTCAGCATGACATATTTCCAGTTACTGTTAACAACTCCAATTACAAAGTGGAAGTTTGTAGAATCCAAGACGTCATCAATGGAAGCAGTAAAATCTCAAATGTTGTACCAGGCTGACAAACTGCAATGTTCAAAATAGTTAAACACAATATGGGAGTTTAATAAAAGTTATACAAATTTGGATAAATCTCAAATTGCTGGCAGATGTCTGGCATTGTAAATATTTAAACAAAGCACGCCACAGGGATTTAGTAACTGTGCATGATTCAGAGTTACGATGTAATAGCCAATATGCCCTCTGAGCCTGAGAAATACAAATGGCATCTCAAATGATTCCTTCCAGGCAAGACTTTATGCAACAATTCTCATAACATCAATTCTGGGTGAGCTTGATTTGCTAAACATACTATTAAGCGAATACTTGTCTGTCAAAGAGCAACCATGTTTGCAATAGTGAATTGTGTGCTCATTAACATCAATGCTGAGCATGAAACATGACTCTGATTTTTTTAAACCTACTTCTGGATAAATCACTTCCAGGTTAAGTCTGATGTACCTCAAGAACAAAGCTCCCTCAATACCATCCCAAATTCTGAAAACCATACCAACAACACCAATTTGATGCTGTTATTTCTCACATGAGCATTCTTTCATGTTACGCTGTGCTGACATTCATAACGTGCAATTTGCTGTGCTCTGTCCTATGACTTGCAAACAGTTTTGTTCTTATAAACCAATTTCAAGTGAGGGTAAAGAGCACGGTAGGAACTAATTCTTTTTAACTAAACTGCTTTTCTGATAATTAGAATGTAAGAAATCTGAATCTATAAACTGGCTGGTTGTTGACATTACCTGCTCACGTGGTTGATGAGCCTTGTTTGTAACAGCAGATCTCTTCCTGATAGCAAGTTGTCACAAATTAGGTGTTGGTTGGATCGCACAGCAACACCATGGCATACACAGAGGGAGCAAAGCACATCCAGAACCTAAGACCACAAAGAATGCAAGTTTATTTGCCCTGACAGACCATAAAGTTGTCAGATTTCTAGAATGATTATGTCACGGAAAAACTAAAAACTTTTGATGATGTTGCCTTTCCCTACCCCACACCCCACCACCTTGGGCATGGAACCTCAGTGTTAGCTACTACCTTGCATATATAGTACATCACCTCATCCACCTGTGAGACAAAGTCAATCTTGCAGTCACATTTCCCATTTGATGCAAAGCAATGTGTTCTTGAATCTGGCCAACTGGACAGATCAGGTGCAGAACTGATTTGAACTTACTTTTTTGGGGAAAACAAAAAATAGCAGGAATAAACCTAGACTACAATGAGCGCCTCAATGGGTTTTGAGGGCTTGAAAATTCAAGACACATTGAAGGTCAGGACCATCCGAAGAGTGAATAACTTAGATACTCCACAAGAACAAAACCTTGGCTTGAAAAACAACACATACTTTTTGTAACACATCTGAAGCTGACGGTATTTCCAGAGCCCTGCTTCTAATAACAGTCATTTGAATAGATGAGATATGCCAATCAATGTTGGTAATTTCCATACCAATAGGGGTTTAGGGAGATAGGGGTTGATTTTATGCCCATTCCCATTATAAAGAAGCAACGGAAAGAACCATCTGTGTAGGATAAGCCTCATAGGAGAAAAGGAAGAATTCTCCTAAAGGTGGATGGATTCAATGAAATGTTCAATGAATATTTCCCTGCAGCAATTTTTCAATCAATCATTTCCCCATTGAATACAGATTGGCAGTGGAACACTTACTGATATAGAAATACACTGCTGTCATAATCTACAGCAAAATATCAGAAGCAAAAGTATTCCCCCATAGAATAACAGATTTAAAACTTTCAGGCTTGCCCATCCATAAGATTGCATTTTAACAAATTTAGAATTGAAGTGCTTGCTCGCGGTTGGACAAGAAGTTGCCAATCTTCTCGGAAATATAGAAAAAGCAGCTTCCAATTTAAGAGTGAATTAACGACAGTAGCACTCCGAGACACTACCCCATGTGAAGGGCAATATATAAGTGCAAGTTGTTTTTGTCGCTGATGATGATTTTCCCCATGATCATAAGGCAATTCTTTTAAGGCTAACACCCTAAAAATCCATTATAGCCTTAAGATGTGTGGAATATCCTATTGCAAGTAAAGGCCAACCTATGAACGATTGACATCTAACTAAATGTTTTATCATGTTACCAACGGTATTCATTTTGTTTGTGGGGGAAAGAGTTTAAACACGATTCCTCACTATGCAGGAATTCAAGTCACATAACAACAACATCAAAATTACATTCGTAAAACACCTTTCACATCCGGAGGACATCCCAAGGCGCTGTACAGAGAGAGTTATGGACACAAGCTGGGGTTCGGGGTGGGGGAGGGTGGAGAGCAGGAGGGGAATCAGGGAGATCGAAAGCACGGTCGAAGAGGAGGGTTTTGAGGTGGGTCTTGAAGGTGGCGAGGGAGGGGGCAAGATGGAGGGACTGCGGGATGGAGCTCCAGAGGGTGGGTGCAGAGTGGCGTAAGGCCTGCCCACCAATAGTGGGGCGAGCAAGGTGGGGGACGTGAAGCAGGCCAGAGCCTGCTGAGCGGAGGGAGCGAACAGAGTGGTAAGGGATTAGGAGGTCGGAGAGAAAGGGGGGAGTAAGACCGTGGAGAGCTTTGAAGTTGAGGACCAGGATTTTGAACTGTATCCTCTGTGTGATAAGAAGTCAGTGGAGTTGGGCAAGGATGGGGGTGATAGGGTCGTGGAGCCTATTGCGGGAGAGAACATGGGCTGCAGAGTTCTGGGTGATCTGCAGCCTGTGGAGGGAGGAGTTGGGGAGGCCGACAAGCAGTGAGTTTGCATAGTTGAGCCTCGATATAATGAAGGCGTGTATGAGGGTTTTCAGGGTCTGAGGTGAGAGGAGAGACAGTGGATGTGGATAGAGTGGTCGACGGTGTTGAAAGCAGCAGAGAGGTCAAGGAGGACGAGGAGGCAGAGAGAGCTCTGGTCGCAGATGGACAAAATGTCATTTGTCACTTTGACCAGGGCGGTCTGTGCCTTGCGAGATCTACCACAGCAGAGTTCCTGCAGGTTGATGGGAAACCCGATTGGAGGGTTTCGAGAAGGGAGTGGCGGGGGAGGAAGGAGCGAAGCTGAGAAGCAACAACGTGTTCCAGGACTTTGGAGAGAAAGGGGAGGTTAGAGATGGGGAGCAGAGAAGGGTCCAGGGAGCAGAGAAGGGTCCAGGGAGGGTTTTTTAAGGATAGGAGTGATGACAGCGGTTTTTAATGGGGTGGGAACAGTACCAGAGGACAGGGAAAGGTTAACGATGTCAGTGAGTAGAGGGGTAAGGAGGTGGAGCTGGGAGGTAAGGAGGGGGGTAGGGATGGGGTTGAGGGAGCAGGTGGTGGGTATCATACGGCTTATGGTGATGATGAGAGAGGAGAAGACAGGTTCAAAGGTTTGGAGGGAGGGTGGGTAAGGGTTGGGGTGGAGGAAGCGATGGTGAGGGGGTAGCAGTTGCAGTGGTAGAGGCAGCTGAGCGGGTTCGCTTGACTTTGGATTCAAGGAAGTTCAGCATTGCCTCCCGGTTGGCATTTGAGGTGAGAATGGGTGAGGTGTGAGAGGATGGGTGGAGGAGCCGGTTCGTGATGGAGAAGAGGAGCCTAGGGTTGTCCTTAGCCTCGAAGATTGTCTTGGAGTAGAACGACGATTTAGAGGAGGGGTGGGCGGAGATAGGATTTGACATGGTCCAGTCAAATCTGCCGATGGACAGTTAGGTTTGATTCAAGCCAGGTGCGCTCAGCAGAATGGGCTTTAAGGTAGCGGAGGTGGCTGGTGTACCAAGGTGATTTGCTTGAGTAGGCGACAGTTCGGGAAGAGAGGGAATTGAGGGAATCGAGAGTGGAGGAGGGGAAGCTGTGGAGAAGGGTGACCGAGGAGGATAGGTCATTGCGGGAGGACGCCCAGAGGGGAAGGAATTCAGATGACTCCAAGGCAGCCAAGAAATGAGAATTCCATCGGTAACCAGCAAACCTGTGGGAACCTCTTGCAACGAGATCTACCACAGCAGAGTTCCTGCAGGTTGATGGGAATTCTAACAGGATTAAGGAACCCCTTTCAGAAATACTACAAATTAGACCCTGTTATGTAGACAGCTACACATTCCATTTTCGAAAATTATTCAATTTAACAATGAAAAATATTTTGTCATTCTATCATCAATCCATTTTTGAAATAAAGTGCTGAATTGTACCTTGTGATTTCTTCCATGTTTATCCAGCAGGGAAATTATAGACTTTATGTGTCCTTCTTTGATGATGTTCAGTGCTTCTGGGCTTTCCACAAGAACACAATGCAGAACTTCAAGAATTCCTGCTTAGGCATGAAATGAAAATGAATTAATGGAAAGAATAATACAAAATCTTTGGACAAGGACAAGGCGGTTATTATTTTCATCCCATTCAATTCTGCAAAGCACACAAAAAATGAAGGATTCGTCTATTGCCTAAAGATTGTTCTAATCTAAATCCTTGAATTTGATATAGCGCCTTCCACATTGGGAGGACCTCCCAAAGTGCTTCACACTTCTGTTCGGCAAGCTGGGAGTGGAACGAGACATGGGGAGGGCTGTATATAAACGCTCCGAGACACTACCCCACGTGAAGGGTGCTATATCAATGCAAATTGTTGTTGTTTTATTATAATGTGTAGTAGCTGTGTATTTTGTAAGCTCACAACTGTATAAAAAATGCTTGGAATCATTTCATATTATGAGTCTGGCTCAGTTGGTAGCACTCTTGCCTCTGATTCAAAAGGTTGCGGGTTCAAGCCTAGAGACTTTGAACTCATAGACTAGGCTGATGCTCCAATGCAGTGCTGGGGGTAAGTTGCATTGTTGGAGGTACCATCCTTCAGATGAAATGTAAAACTGAGGTTCAGTTTGCCTGTTCAGGTGGATGTTAAAGATCCAATGGTACTATTCAAAAAGAGGAGCGAGTTTTCCTGTTGTTCTGGCCAAAATTCCTCCACGTTCGCCCACAAAATACACAGTTATTATTATTATAAAATTAGTCACTCACTTCAATGCTGTTTGTGGGAAATTGTTGTGCACAAATTGGCTGCATGGAAATTAGCTGCTACCTTCTCCTACAAAATACACAGTCAATACTCTTTACAGTAAATCCTGTGACACGCTTTAAGACATTGATGACTGATAAGGCACTATATCAACTACAAGGATTATTATTGTTACATATACAATGACCCATCCTCTTTATGTGAAAGTTGCTATATAAAATAGAAGATTTTTGAATATATTATGTTAGGATTAGCACTGTGGACAATTGATGATATTATCCACAGACATGGGGTCAACTTCCACATGTATGTGGATGACATCCAACTCTATCTCTCTGCCTCCACCCTTGATTCCAGGACCACTCTCATCGTGGATGAGAGCTAGCTTTCTACAGTTGAACGTCAACAAGATTGAGACCCTCCTGATTGGCTCCCGTCAGTGACTCCTCACCTCAGGTGCTGACAGCATCACCATCCATGGTTGCACACTCCACCTTACTAAGCCAGTCTGGAACCTTGCGGTCTTGTTTGACCCTCAACTATCCTTTCTACCCCACATCTGTGCCATGGCCCGCTCTGCCTTCCCCCATCTCCGTACCGTTGCCCGGCTCTGACACTGTCTCACACCACAGGCCACCGAATCCCTCATACATGCCTTCATTACATCGAGACTCGACTATGCAAACTCATTGCTTGTCGGCCTCCCCAACTCCTCCCTCCACAGGCTGCAGATCATCCAGAAATCTGCAGCGTGAGTCCTCTCCCACACTAAGCTCCGCGACCCTATCACCCCCATCTTTGCCCAACTCCACTGGCTTCCCATCACACAGAGAATACAGTTCCAGATCCTGGTCCTCAACTTCAAAGCCCTCCATGGTCTTGCTCCCCCCTACCTCTCCGACCTTCTAACCTCTACCATCCTGTTCACTCCCTCCACTCAGCGTGCTCCGGCCTGCTTCACGCCCCTCGCCTTGCTCGCCCCACTATTGGCGGGCGGTCTCTCCACCACTCTGTACCCACCCTCTGGAACTCCATCCTTCAGTTCCTCCACCTCACCTCCTCCCTTGCCACCCTCAAGTCCCACCTCAAGACCCTCCTCTTCGACCATGCCTTCGATCTCCCTGCTTCCCCCCCTGCCCTCCACCGTCCTCCACCCCGACCCCTCAGCTCGGGTCCGTAACTCTGTCTGTCCAGCGCCTTGGGACATCCTCCTGATGTGAAAGGCGCTTTACAAATGTAATTTTGTTGTTGTTGTACTCAAGCGAGAAAAAGAAAACTGTTGAACAAAATCACTGCCATTCACACTGTAAAGCAGCACTGGTAACAATAAGCCATCTGCGTTTCAAGACAAATATCAAGACAATATTTTCATTAAGATCCATGCTGTGAACAAAAACGAGTTGATATGTCCGAGGAAATCACATGGAACACCACAAGGAGTCAAACTGCTTTAGTCTGACTTGCGTAGAAAACTTGAAAAGCCCCCCAAAAATTGTCTTTGATGCAGCAGAAACAAAGACTGATACAGTTCACTCTTTGATAGAATGTTAATAAAGTGCCCTTAAACCATAACAATGCTTATGCCATTTCATCTGCAAATCCTATTGATTACAAAAAGCTGATTCAGTTTACACCTAATTACGTGACTACTCTTCAAGGGTAACAATTCTAATCAGATGAGCAGTTTCACTGGATTTCCCTTGTGTCTGCTCTAAACTTCTGTTCCTCAGTGATTTAAAGAACAATTTTCTCTCCTCATTTAGAATACATCATTCCAGACCAAAACGATACAAAGTCGCTCAGGCTCATCTCAATCCACCCTTGGCAATCTAGAGCAAAGCCTAAGATTTCAAATGACAATTCATAAATCAAAAATTACAGCTGTAGCATGTTGTTCAGTAATGCACACCAACTGTCTTGGATCGACTACAAAATACACAGTTACTACACCTTACAGAAAATCTATTTGAACTGCCAAGTGAAAAAGCAAATTCACCTGTAGCACTGTAGCAAATTCAAGGATTATTATTATTGTTATTAATTCATAAAGATCAGAAGCAGCAGTTGGGATTAGGAACATAAGGAGGCCATTCAGACAATGGGAGTTCAATTCCAGGCAGGGCAAAACCTTGGGCAAGTTTCCTTACTCCACACGCCTAATAATAATCCCTCCAAAACCATAAACAATAATAAATTGGTCATTTTCAATCTACGACTGCTTGTGGGACATTGCTGTGCGCAATTGGCTGCCGCGTTTGCCCACAAATATACAGTCAATTCACTTTACAGTGTGTTCTGTGAAGCGCTTTGGGACGTCCTCCCGACGTGAAAAGCGCTATATCAAATGCAAGGATTATTATTATATTATTATTATCTAGCTCGGCTATGATGCTCCCCAGGACTGAACAGCCTGTTGACACAGTCCATGTTCTCAGAAGAAGAATGGGTGCTTGGGCAAGGTACTGGTGGGTACTACCACACAGAGGCATTCCACAACAAGTTCACTATCTGCCTTGCTTATTTGCCAGCAAGCAGTTTCTAGATCTCAAAGCTCACTGCAGTACAAACTTCCCAATGTAATATATAAATAAAAGTTGTGATTCCATTTCTGAGCACAAATCCACTAGCGCTGAGTAAAGTAAGGCTGCATTTGTTAAAGCTGGTTCGATTTACCAATGAACCAAATACAATCATTGGATAACATCATCCACAGAGGCAGCAGTAAAAGGGACGTGCTGCAGACCAGCAATTAAAGCTGACCTTGATAAGCTTTCCATTCACAGGCTTTCCTATTTCCTCCAAGGTTGAAGCAAAAGTCCCCCTTTCTCTCCCATACATTACAGTCATGTTCTCCTGAATGGAGAACCTTGAAGCACAAATTTTGACAAAATTACATTGAACAAAGATGCTTCTGTTGACACTTACCAATATCAATTTTATAAGCCAGCCGATAATTTTGCAACCGATAATTTCACAAAAACAGGGAGGAATCCATAACCTGCACCACTATAATATAATGAGAATTGCAGGCAGCTGGAGTGAGTGATAGGATTGTAATTTACTCCAAGGGATCAAATGACATTACAATCCATACAAGTGAAGATTATGCTTGTAGACAGTCAAGGAAATTCAGAAATCAAGTTACTGTTTCCCCCGTTCCCATCCCTGAGTGTACCTACAAAAATAGCCATTGCACTTGATACTAATTACTGTGAAGTTCTTTGAGACATTTCAGTGTAACAAGCCATTTCTTCTCTTTCTTTAAAGGGTTCTGTCAACCTGGGTGCTGGGAAGTCAAGTTTTTCTTTAGAATTTACATTAGCGTACTATCCTGTGAGGTAAATTCATTATATAGCAGCAGCACAAGACTGCTCAAATTCCTTTCACTCGGACACTTAATGGTTTCTCCTCCTGCCCCTGCCCAGTCTCCTGTGGCATAACCCAGGGTTCCATCCTTGGCCCCCTCCTCTTTCTCATCTACATGCTCACTCTTAGCGATATCATCCACAGACACAGGATCAACTTCCACATGCAAATGACACACAAATGTACTTCTCCTCGTCCAGTTGCAACTCCAGGTCTGCCGAAGTTCTGTCGGCTTGTCTGGCTGAACGCAAACATCTTGCAACTAAATGTCGACATAATGGAAGCCATACTCCTTGGCTCCCATCAAAGTTTTCTGTCTTGTAGCTCTGACCTCCTCAACCTCCCCGGCCTATCCCTCAGACTCACTGAAACGGTGTGCAACCTAGGCATCAGGTTCAACCCACAGTTGCGCTTCCTTCCACACATCCGGTCCCTGACCAGGACCGTCTTCTTCCACCTCCACCACACTGCCCGCCTCCAATCGTACTTTACCCCAGGTCCAGCGAAGCACTCATCCATGTTCATCACCTCCCGCCTCAACTATTCAAATGACCTCCTCGCCAGTCTCCCCAGCTCCACCATCCACAAAATGCAGCTGATCCAAAACACAGCTGCTCACATACCTACCCACACAAAACTCGGTATCCCCATCACACCAGTTCTAGCCAGGCTCCACTATCTCCCTATCACTGAAGGATCAATTTCAGGATCCTCACATTTGTCTTCAAAACTCCTCATACCCTGGCACCTCCTTACCTCTCCGACCTGCTTACCCCCAACCCACTACCCGCTGCCTCCAATCTTCTACATGTCCCTCGTGACCTCTTTTCCATCATCGGTGGCCATACTGTCAGCCACTTCACCCTGAAACTCTAACCCTCTGCCTTGCCCCTTCCATCCCCATTTTAAGGTCGCACCGAAAGAACTTCCTCTTCGACCATGCCTACAATCAGCAACCCCATCCTCCCCCCCGCTCACCATCATGCTCCGACACTGTCAAGCGATCTGGGACACTACCCTGCATAAGGGAAACCATATAAATGCAAGTTGCTATTCTTGTTAAAGCTGTTGAAGAAGAGGCTCTCATCCTATTCATTCATAGTTTCCACAGGGAAAAAGAGAGCAGTGGTGGCCAACCTTTTCGGTCAGCCAACCAAATACATTTTCTTGATTGAATACTTCTTGATTTTCGGCCACACCATAAACATCGGCACTCAGGAACTTCTGGAAAACAACTGCTTTCAAACTGACTCTCCTAGACTAGTGGCTCAGCAAGCCACTTTCTGATGGCCCATGAGTTGGCCACCATTCCATGCTCTAGCATCGAATCCGCTGCAACACTCAGGCCCACAAGATGGATTTTAATTCAAAATGACTTTCTACAACTTATGCATTTAAACAAGTGATAAAGACAATTTTTTTTGCCCATCTTACACTGACAAATTCTTTCCATGAAAGTGAGTTGTCAAGCACTTTGAGATGCCCTCCCGACATGACAGGCACTATATCAAATGCAACGATTATTATTATTCTGCGATTAAAAAAAACTCCAACTTCTGAATCTCTGTGATGGTCTACTTTCCTCCATCGGTCAGATATTTGGGATTTTCACGGTTGATAAAAAAAGCCCAAAAGATTTTCTGCCTGAAAGCTGTCACAATTCCAATGTTCAGTTTGTGATTATCATACTTTTGAACATCTTACTAGAGAAATTCTAGATTTTCTCAATTTATACTGCAATTCAGCTTATCTGTAAAATTCTGCAATAGTCTTAAGTTTTCTATAAATTCTGTTAAGAAACTACGGTAAAACCACTTCAAAGTTAAAACTAAATTCAACAATTTATTGAATTCTGCATGCTCTGAAATACTGAGAAACTGGAATGAATCTAGCTACAGACGGAATTTCTCTCCACCCAACTATGAAATCCTTTAGGTCCCCTATGTGATGATGCAACTACTTTCTGATGAATTCTCTGAAATCTAATCGCCTGAGAGGCTGGTATGGTCTGTTGCCCACCCCCAGCCCCCACTCAGCCCCCAATCCCATCCCCCACCTCCACCCCAGCCCCCACCAACCCCTTTGTCAATTGAACACCTTCGTCAATCCAACAAAGACAATTTGTCAAAAATGGATAAAAAGGGAAACCCAATATAAAATGAAAAAATTAGAGCAAAATTCTACTTAGCAGATTCCTCACTTCTACATTCATCAACTAAATTGCTTATTATGATAACTTGTAACAAATATTGGACAGATTCAACAGACATTTAATTTAGGTTTATCTGGCCTTAGAACTGTAAAATGCAGATGCTGCTTGTAACTTAAGATGTCAAAGGATTCATACACACCAGAAGAAGCTTCTAATCTCTCCAGTCTGCTGATCAGCCAGTCTAAGGAGCTGGAGAATTGGGCACAATTTTTGCGATTTCCTCTAATCAAGGCAGCTGGAAAAAAACAGAGACAAGGTTATTTCTCTGTATGCCTCTTGCCCTGAAAAGAACAACACCCCGAACAAAAATCATGTTTTTTGTCATTGTTCAGACTGGATAAGCCCCAGCACTTCCCTTCATCCTTTCACTGCAGAAGAGAAAACATTTGATAACACCGACTGTCAATCAATGGAATACTGGGGTAAATGCTGCCACGTTTTGCCATCAAAATACAGTCTACTTTACCATATATTCTGTGAAGCGCTTTGAGACATTTCAACAACATGATAAGGCGTCATATCAAATGCAAGGATTATTATCATTCCACCTGTGGCCTGATGCTCCCCTTTGGCTGAAGCATTATCAACAGTAGCCAAGGTTGTTACGTATTCCTCCACCAGTCCTCTCCCTCCTCAAGGCCAGTAAAGTAAGTGTGAGATGTGCACTCTTCTTTGTGGAAAGAGTGTCTAGACAGAGCAAGATCTAATGAGAGATGCTATATTAACTGTCCCAAAACTTACCTTTGTCTAAGACAGATATTTATTACTGAAGGTAGAAATAGTAAATGATAATGGTTCTTAAAGGGACATGTTCTCCAACTTACCTGCTGTGCAATCATTGGTCTTTTCTATAATTATAGAAATATCATCCCTACCCCAACATACAAATCATTAAATCCAAAATTGGTCTTAACACAGCCCAAAACAAGTGATGATAAAGTAAACTAATGGAAGTACAAACCTCACCTGAGGTTAATGAGATCCAAATAGGTTTTTACTGTGATAATATGGATTATTTTACACCGCATAAAAATCTGCTGGAATTTCCCTAGGATTTTCACACAGATAGATTTTATTTTATTCTCCAAACTGTCATTAACTCTACAAATGTTAAGATGGAATTTCAGACTGTAGCAAACACATTTGCTCATTTTCATGAATAAACAGTATTTCTGGAGCTGAAACAAGGGATGTCGCACAAACCGGAGCCACTTTTCTTTGTTTCAATTTGTTTTATGGCTATTTCGGGTTTTTATCCCCAACTCTATTGTATTCTACAATATGCCCAACTCCATTGTACCAACTCTACGCATTTTTTCCCTGTGGTGTAACATGGTGCAGTTCTGCGGTCCAAGGCTGAAAATCAATAGTGGTAATACAACACCACAAGCTGAAATTATATGTTTACTTATATTCTTATACTCAGCATTTCATGTTTTTAGACAGATGTTTTTAACTGGTGTTCTAGTACTTGATCAAGTATTAGCCATGTCTTTGAACAAGTGACAAGTAATTCAGTAACAAAACCATTTCCTTGACAAGATATAAACTAGCACTGGGCCACACTATGAATTTACATTATTATTCTCCATATTTTACATAAGAACATAAGAACATAAGAAGAATTAGGAGCAGGAGAAGGCCTCAGCCATGATCTTATCAGCCATGATCTTATTGAATGGCGGGGCAGGCTCGAGTGGCCTGCCCCGCCATTCAATAAGATCATGGCTGATCTATTCTAACTCCACCTACCCCCCTTATCCCTTAATCCCTTTATCCACAAGAAATCTATCAATCTCAGTCTTGAATATGTTCATACAGCCCTCTGGGGTAGAGAATTCCATAAATTCATTATCCTCTGAGTGATCCAAACCTTACAAAGATCCAAATCTTTTTGGTCGGCCAACCAAATACTTTTTTNAATTGAATTTTGCTTAATTTGTGGCTGGACCGTGAGTATCGCAGCTCGGTAGTTACTGGAAACAAAGTATTGATTTGGCACAGATTTGACTGGACTGGTGCAGGTATTTAGCCGGCCAATTCTTGACCTCCCAAAAGTGGCCCACAGGCCACTACACCATTGTAATGCCCTAATCTAAACTAATGGCTATTTACTGTCGGTTGTTAAGTTTTAAGTTGAAGTAATTTGCTTCATGATGCGTGAGTAAATCAGTAATTTGTGTGTTGGTATCAATTTTAGTGCCTTTTTCTGTGCTACGTGCTGTCATTAAGACTGGTTATTGATGTACCTCAAGAATGCCAAGCAGTCATCATAAGACAAACACTGCCTTTCTGCTCTGCAATACGACAATGCATCAAGATTCAAAGTGCACTGCGTCGACCAGCTCTGAAACAATTTATGTACTAGGTCATTGGGTTTCAAATTCCAAGCATGTTCCTGAATGCTACCTGATGCCAAATACAGGCTGAAAGCACGTCTACCGACAGCAGAGAGTCACAAGGGACAAGCAGGAGGTCAGAGTAGAAGCGGCAGGTGCTGAAATAGGAAGTAATCAGGTCAGAAAGGTAGGGAAGTTCCAGGGCATGAAGGGATTTGTAAACGAGTGTGAGGATCTTGAACTCAATCCGTTCTGTAAACCCGAGCCAGTGGAGCCTGGCTAGAACTGGTGTGTTGAGTTTAGGGAGTTTAGAGCAGGTGAGTATATGGACGGTGGAGTTTTGAATTAGTTGGATTTTGTGGATAGTTGAGCTGGGGAAAACGATTAGTTGGGTAGTTGAGCTGGGTAGTGCAAGGAGCACTACTATTGGAGTAGTTGAGGCAGGAGGTGACAAAGGCAGAGACGAGGGATCAGCTGCATTGGGTGTGAGGTATGGTTGGTGACGGAGGTGGAGGAAAACAAGTCCTGGTCAAGGACTGGATGTGGGGTTGGCAGGACACATGGGATAGAATCTGACGCTGAGTTTAGGGACAGGTTTAATAAGTCTTAGGGAAAGGCCAGCCAAAAATATCTACTATACACTGATCAATAGAACCAAAATGTTTCCTCATTGTCACTTTACTAATCATTTCTGACCTGCTAAATTATCATGAGTCACTCATTGTATAAGAATTAATTGCTTACTAATTTTATTAGCTCTGCTGCATGTTAACAGAAAAAAATCTTTCATTCTGATTTACTATTCAGACAAGCTGTAATAGTTGCATCCTTTAAAAACCCATAGTACACATTTTGGTTGCATTTTTTGAACAAACCCCTGGAGTTATAGTGAATACACATTTTATTTTCTAAGTGAGTACTGACACAATGCCAAGGGATTGTAGAGTGGAATAACCTGTCTAACCGCACACTCTTCAGTCATTCACGGTATTGAAATGACCTCACTTAGTACTGTGAGTAAGGTATAAAAGCAGTTGTTTTACTCGGTAGTCAACACACACATAACAGCAGTTGACATTCATCCTTTGACCATTATTGGTATGCTGAAATTGGCTGTAGCATTTGCCTACAAAAATGCAGTCACTACACTTTAACTGTGAAGCACTTTGAGATTCCTGATGTGACAGGCACTATATCAAATGCAAGCAACATTGCAGGAATACTGTATTAAAACAAACTAATGTATATTTTTGATTAGCTGTTAACAAAAGCATGTCCTATTTTCTTTTTTGTATTTCCATTAGTCCTTCTCATCACTAATACACCACATTTCATACTTTAATATCTGGCAATTATACAATCTTTTTTCTCCTCTTTCCTCCTTTTTATCACTACAGTAAAATTCTTTGATATCAACTTTAATTTAAGGAAAACATGTCAGATTTTTTAAGAAGAAAGTTCTTGAGCTGGAATATCAATTGAAAGAGCCTGTTCTGTGGTCAGTCAAGCAGTTACGATTATAACCATAGAATCATGAGAACCAGTTATATCTTATCTAAAATGAAGATAGCATCTTACCAAGTAGCTCATAGAGTGAATTGAGAATAGATCTCCAAGATTCTCCTGCTTCTTTCCCAGCAACATCTGTGAAGTGGGCTGCACTGCTGTACACATTGAGGTGGTCAATGCACTCAATAACCAGGTTAATCATGCCCTTTGGTAAACATAAAAGATAACACATTAGTACATTTTTGTCCTTAAACATTTGGGTGTGCACCTAATAATCCTCATAATCCTTATCCACCCTATCTGCGTGCTTCCAAACACATGTCCCTCAGCCAGTATAACTGGTGGCTGAGCCTCAAATCTACCTCATGGCAACTGACACTGATGTCATTAAGATGAGACAGCTTCTTCAAGAAATAGAGCACTTTGCTTCCACAAAGGATATGCCTGGCAACTTACTCGAGGAACCGGGAAATTTCAACACTGGTAGCTGAACTCAAATTTTAGCTGAATCTTGGATCTCCCGTCCAGGTTTCTATGTCCAGAAATTAATTTGCAAAGAATTCAGAGTTAAAGGAACACTTTTTTCAACTTATAGCTAAAATCCTAAGTTGGAAAACAAATACAACTCTTAGCATATAATTTCCTTCCTCCTTCATGCTTTTTATGAATGGTAGCAAGCTACTATCATTGTTTTAATCACTTGTCTGTTTCTTGGCCGTAAAATGGTGCATGTGGTAAACTGAGACATAGGGAAAATACAAAACAGACAACATACTTTGCTCATTTAAAGGATATACACAGGAACATAGGAAATTTAAGACAAATGGATGAGATAATCTCTCCTCGTCGGCCTCACAAATAAATCAATAAACAAAACAAGCCACACATAAAATGAATAGTTAATTCATTTATGTTTAACATGGGCAAATTAGCAGAACCAAAGGAAGACTATTATTACAATATTACATATATTACATATTACAATATGGAAAAAAATACGGATATCAACTTTAGATAAGTAGACAAATCCATCAAACAAAACCAAGAGTTGTGAAATAACATAAATCCAGATACATAGGTGTATAGGTCAAGAAATTTGGCAAATTTGTTCTCAACTTTGAAATCAGTTGCCTGTTGTATTTAAAATAACTTCCAGAAAAACAGCTTCAACTGGACTGAATGTTTACAGTTCAAAGAATCTCACTTATGCCATGAAGTTGCTGTCTTGTTCTTCAGTTATGTGGTAAAATTCTTCGAGAAGTATTTCGGCTCATTACCTTAAGGCTTCCACAACCTCTGAATTTCATAGTGAAACAAAGTTTTTACCACACAGTGCAAATACCGAGGAAGACTAAATTATGAACATTTCCTCCACAGCATCAAAAACAGCAATAAGGCAGAAACTCAACTTGTTCTGTATAATCCTAAGTACAGCAAGAAACAAAACCTTTTCAGCACACACACCCACGCACGCACATATTAAAATAGATTGCACGTCATAGTATTGGGAAGTCAGAGTGAAAAGGGTACGAAAAGCTGGTTGAATTTTAAATATTGCTAAAATAGATGGGCTAAGAATTTTACTGCAGTTCTGAAATCTAAGGGTTTGCTATTTACCTCTTCCTGGAAGAGATTCTGTCTGTTCTTGAGTGCTCTCAGCCTGTTCTGTTTATCTTCATGTTCCAGATGTTCATCAGGTGGCTGAAAATAGCCAATCAGATCCTGCAAACTCAGACTGACGGACTCGATAGGTAAATCAACAGCTGGGGATCTCCCTTTCTTGTTGAGAACATCGAGGCCCCTGTGAACACAAAACCAGATAAGATATCAACTGTAAATTTAATAACCCAATGTCAATAATCAAAAAGAATGCCAGCTCATTTTTTTTAAAGAGATTCACAAGTAAAACCAAATGTCATACAACAATGAATGCTATCCTTCCTTTAAAAAACACATACATTTTGGAAACAAAGTTAAAAGATATTTTCCAGGTTATCATCATTGGTACGAACCATTATTTCCTTTCATTACCTTTCCAATGTCACACATCATAAGATTGCCCAGGTTTTTTAACATTTAGCTTTTCTACAGCAGCAGATTAAACATTTAATTGAAAAAGAGATGAAATAGTGAAGGTTGCTGTCAGACCAGAACGACAGCAACGTACTGTACAATGCATGCTATTCAATAGGGATGCCATCAATGACAACGCTTGCCATGGATGGCATCCCCATTGAATGGCATCCCGATGTAATGGCAACTTTTTAAGGGGCAACAATCATTCCCTGTAATTCCACAGCAATGCCTAAGAAGGAACACTGTGATAAAGGGCACATTTAGTTGTTATTTAGTGCCTAAGGGAACACGAATAATAAAATCTACTATTTTCTTTTACCTTCTGATGTTAGCTTGGTCCAAAATGTTTTCATTAGCACAATGGAGCCTTGCTTTTAAAAACTAATAATATTACAAACCTCCCATAATACCCTTCATATATGCTAACTAGATGTATGGTAATGTAATGTAACTGTTTTGAAGCTCTCTGAGGTATTATTCTTTGTGCAGGACATGATTTTAATGTAAGTTGGTGTTACGGTGGTTGTTCACATTAGAAGTTCCATTGTTGTCTATAGTTACACCCCTTGTTCCAATTTTTGTTTAAATTCGTAAAAAAAAATGCCAATCTTATACCTTAAATCAAATGTGGCTATTGATGTCACTGATGCAGCTCACTGCTGCACTGTACTGTATTTCTGCAATACTGCTGCACTGTATTTCATTTTGCAACATTTTGTAACTCGTCCATATACGAGAGGCAAACACACCTGATGAACCTGTTGAAGAGCAACACTGTGCTGCGAATAACGCGTGCTGTCCTTGACTCTTCGTGCTGAGAACGTGATAGAGTTAAGCCGTCATCCATGTGGCCCTCATGATGCATTATGGCCTGAAACGAGGGGGAAACATTACTCGATCCAGGCACACACTCAATACTGTTTCATACACTTATCGCTGCCTTCTCCTTACGTAATTGGATAATGCACACTGCCACTTTCGGATGGCTTTCAAGCCATCAAACTAATTGGGAGAAAAATATTGCCAATTTCCGAATAAAATTTCATTTTGAACCATTCAAATTGCACAAAGTCAAAGCCAAATTTCATACTGTCGCATGAACAAAAGATGAATATCTAAACAGTTGATTTCTTATTGCCCACTAATTCACAATTAAATGGATCTATAATTCCCTCTGTATTTGCACATTATTAACACAGGGTTTACACCCAACACATCTGAGACTCATAGAAACTAAATAAATATTACAAATCTATTTATTTACACAAAAGTTATTTTATCTCACTGCTCAGTTGTTTATTTAGTTTATTTTGCTATTCATTTGTTTTTTTAAGCTGCAGCAAAATTCAGCTGTGACATTAACTTTATGGCCAGAGAGCAAACAGAACCTTTGTTGTGGACATATAAACAATGGAAGACCTACTTTCCGCTGAGCTGTTCCCATCCGCGCTGATTTAGCATCCACGGACTGGTAAGAAAGCCACAGTCCAGTATCTAACTGCTGGATGAAACACACTGAATCCCCATATTTTATCTCCGGGGATCCCATTCCATCCACTTCCTTCCTTATTCCTGTATCCAGTTTTTCCTATATAAAAAATATAAATTCCAGATCAAAGAAACAATTGCTCCCTGAAAAAAACAAGCAGGTAAAACAATATAACCACAGTAATGTCTTGGGCAAAGATTTCTGCCTGTGGATATTTAGAAAAATATATTAAGTGGGATCTAATTTGTGAATGGGATTCCTTAATAAAATCTGTCATGCTGACCAGTGGGATCTCTGTTCTGATGTGATCTCACCACTCCGAAACACTACCCCGCATGAAGGGTGCTATCCAAATGCAAGCTTGTTGCTGTTGTTGATCTACACGGAATATACAGTCAATTCACTCAGTATATTCTGTGAAGCGCTTTGAGACGTCTCAATGGCATGATAAGGCGCAACATCAAATTATTATTATTATTATTAGAATTCTTGCAGATTGATGGGAATTTGAAAAGTATTCCTGATTAAGAAATCCCTTCAAGAAACAATATAAATTAGATGACAATACAAACATGTTGTACAGTCATCTTTGTTGCTGCATTTCTTGCTTTGATTAATTTCTTGCTTTACATTAAGCTGCGAAAAACGAAGGCACTTCTCTTTCATCATTGAAATGGGCTCATGAAATGAAGCATCTCAAATATGCGCCATGCATTACAAAATACTCCCATTACTGAATATGTACTTACCTTCTTTCATAAATATCACTTATTTGCTAGGCTGAAAACATTAATGTCCCATACTAGTTTTTTAATAGTTATTTTCAAATAAAATGAACAGATTGATAATAATAAGCTCCAGAAATGAACAGTGTTTGATGCTGCCGCTCCCCTGTGGTTTAGCTACTAAATGAGCCAACTACATAAGCCACAAACACCAGGAAGCTTCTGGGTTTAAACTCTGATCTGTGCAATTAGAAGTAAGTGAGGGCTGCAGCAAGACACGACAATTGGGCTCATTACCCCTGGCTGCAGAGAAAGAGATTAAAATGTTTAGCGATTTCATTCCAGATCACTGTCTACTCAATGAACCTGCTGGAAAGCACACTCCCAATGTTGATATGGAACAAGACAGGATCAAGCTTAACGCTGATGTCCCCATAGTCAAAAGCCTGCCAAAACTCACTGTGGGGTCATTGATCAAGAATGGTCACTTGTACAATGCACCAGTAGACTGATTATCCTTATGGAAACATTTCCCAGTCTGAGCCATTTTCTCCAAAATAGTGGAAAGAGCAGAAAAGCTCAACAACAAATTAAATTTGGATAGCGCCTTTCCCGTCAGAAGGACAGATCCTACAAGCAACAGAGGGGGACTTTTACTATTTGAAAGTGAAGTCTGTAGAAAATCTCTCCACTTTTTCATATCATCTGAACTGTGTAATTCTACAAACTTCGCTTTGAGATGTGGAAATCCCTCTCTGTAGTTAGTAACAACCTCAAAGTAACTACAAGGTAGAAATCTAATCAGGAAGTTTAGACGGCATTATTAATGACTGAAACATATATAATTATCAACTGAACCTCAAGATTAGATTTAATTGAAGGCTCAAAATTAGTGCAACATTTATTATTTTTTACAGCAGAGATTCTGAATTGCATGGGATGTTTTCAGCGGATTTTGATTTTGATTGTGACAGCAGCCACTGTGATGACAGTTCCAGATATCTAATGCATGTTGTGCAGTGGATCTGTGAAGACATCCACACTCAAATAATAATAATTTTACGCACAGTCACTGTAGCTTTTCCAACATATGCTTAATGCAAAATTTAACATTCAGCATATATACGACAGCAGAAGAAAGATGAATGATGTTTACAATACAATGTCAAAATCTCAATCTCAATTTCAGATGCAAATTGTCTAAAATAAAATGAATGGAAATAGCGAAGAAACAAATAACACCTCCAAGTTTAATAATGCAGTTAAACCATTCAACTATTGCACTGTGACACATGCAGATTAATGAACAAATGAACACTGGGGACAGGGATTCCCACTTAGCTCCTGTTAACTGTGAGCCAAAGCCCTAACTGATAGTCTGAGCTAGACAATCACCGGGATGCTTACCAAACAGTACTCTCGATGTCAAGCTATATCATTTTATCTGAATAAACTCCAGCAATATCCAAACACACACTCTGAGGTCCCCAGCCTTGGCTCTTGTCACCCTGGACAAAATGCAATCCAACAACAACAACAACAATTGCATTTATATAGAGCCTTTGATGTTGAGAGGACATCCCAAGATGCTGGAATTCCATTCCACACACAAGGAAATTTCCATGTGTAAGTGACGCACAAGTGTCAACCTGGCTCTGTTGTAGCTATCTCGCCTCTAAGTCAGAAGTTTGTGAGATCAAGCCCCACATCAGGACTTCAACTCACAAAGTCTATGCTAACACTCGAACGCAGCACTGGGGATGAATTGCATTTTTGAAGATCCCGTATTCAGATAAGACATTAAACCAAGGTCCCATCTGCATGTTCACCGGACATCACAAGATCCCATGGCACTTTTCAAAAAGAGAAGGGAGATTCTCACGGTATCCTGGCCAACAAAATTTGGTGATTCACTTCACGGCTGTTTGTGGAACATTGCAGTACACAAATTGGCTGCCGTGTTCGCCAACAAAATATAAGTCACCCCACTTAAGAAATTAACCAAGTTATGTCTGCCTGTTCAGATGGATGTAAAAGATACCATGGCACTAGAAAAGAAAAGTTTCTCCCAGTGTCCAAGCCAACAAGTCTCGCCACCCCCAAAATTGGTCATTCAATTCATAGCTGTTTCTGCGACATTTGGTGTGCGCAAATTGGTTGCTTTCATTCGCCTATAAAATATTCAGTATTTGCATTTTATCGTGCGATTGATATCCTATGAGGTACTTTGAGACTTCTTCCTAATATGAAAGGCACAATATCATATATAAGGATTATTATTTTATGTCCACTGAGTGACCCAGTACGCAAGATAATAATAATCTTTGCATTTGATATAGCGCCTTATCACATCTTTGAGATGTCTCAAAGCACTTCAAGGAATATATTGCACAACAGTAACAACATCCTGCACTTACATAGCGCCATCCACACAGGGTAGCATCTCAGAGCGCTTAACATTGGCGGAGTGCGAATCCAAGCCGGGTTGGAGAGATCGACGAGTAGTGTGTTTGAGTAATCCAGGCGGGGCTGACAAACGCATGCATGAGGGTTCGGCTGCAATTAGGGTAAGGTACGGTTGTTGTTGCTGAATCGCAGCATAGCATATCCCACAAACAGTCTTGGATTGAATGACCAATTTATTATTTTTTATTCCTTGGAGGGATTATTACCCCTGGAAAGCAATCCGCCAATTGACTAACAATCGGATTCCTACTTACTGATGGGTAAACAGGGGGAGGAGGTGTGGAGAAAGGAAACTTGCTTAAGGTTTCACCCTGCCGGGAATCGAACTCGGGGCCTCTTGCTTGTGAGGCGAGTGCACTAAACTCCACACTACGGGGACTACAAGATGGTGATTGCACAACATCCCCAGACAAATCCACCAAGAACACCACATTGATTATAATCATAAGTATTGCATTCTACCAGAAATGGTTTGAATTAGTACTCCAACTAAATATTCACTTGGCACTCTTTATGTGTCTAAAGACTTATTATGCAGAGACAATCTAATGAGATTTGATTTAAAGCTGTAATACCAAATCATTCGCCTAATAGAGCTACATATCGTTTTATGCTGCTGGAAGTTATGTGACATTATTTCTGGGAATGGAACAATTCTGAAAAGGAAAATTGATTAGTATTTCCTAATGACTTTCACCAGGTACTGAGAGCATAGCTAGTTAATGTGAATGCATGCAACTTTATGCAATAATCACAAAGTTATAAAACAATTATGCCATTCATCTGTAAACTGGCTGCCACATTCACCTACGCAGGTACTGAACTTCACAGTAAAATCCTGTGAAGTACTTTGAGACATTGATGATATGATAAAGTGTTACATCAAATGTAAGATTATTATTGTGATTTTTTCCTGTAATATAATTGCTCAATGTAGCTTTAACTGATGAATGCATTTGTCTTTTATTTGACACCCTGATGTCCCTTGCAAAGTGTCTCTTGCTTTTCCTCCACTGTCTAGCACTCAACTGGCTTGAAAATTGAGCCCTTTTACACTATTCCATTATACCTATATAAGCCATTTCATCATACTGATTGCAGTGTCATAATACAATTACTTGAGCCTTTGTCTAAGTATTAATACTTAATGTCTTATCAAAATACATTTTAAATTCAATTCTACAATCTTCGCTTTACAAATTATTTAATGCTTCAGAAAGTAAAGACAGGTTAATGAAACCAAGAGTAAAATTCAAGTGATTTCATTGCAGTGAATGGAGGTTCTTGACTCCAGAGCAAAATTTGCTGAATTCTTCATCTATTAATGTAAATGTTCTATTTGGATTTGAACTGAAACAGTGAAGCAACACTCAGGTGTGGGCAGTAACTCCAATATCAGCTGCCAGTGGCTCCAGGCCTAACCAATTTGTCAAAGTTAGGGAGAGAGATAGAGAAGGGGTTCACTACCATACAAAATTGTTACTTATTGACTGGCTTGACTGCAATTTTTGACAATTTGATAATTGTGACGGTAATATTTATTGTAAATGGTACCTTGTAACTCATTCAACTTCCCTCTATAAGTCATTCAATTTGCATCCCTCTATAATTCATTCACAACTTGATGTTGCTCAACAAAACAACAACAACATTATATTTGTATAGCGCCTTTCATGTCGGGAGGATATCCCAAGGCGCTGGACAGTGTACAGCATTTCAGACCCGAGCTGGCATCAGAGAGGGAGAAGGGAAGGGAGGGGAAGGGGGGTGGCTGATGGATTGTCGAAGAGGAGGCTATTGAGGCAGGACTTGAATAATAATAATAATAATAATAATAATCCTTGCATTTGATATAGCGCTTTTCACGTCGGGAGGACGTCCCAAAGCGCTTCACAGAACACACTGTAAAGTGAATTGACTGTACATTTGTGGGCGAACGCGGCAGCCAATTGCGCACAGCAATGTCCCACAAACAGTCGTAGATTGAAAATGACCAATTTTATTATTGTTTTTGGTTTTTGGAGGGATTATTATTAGGCGTGTGGAGTAAGGAAACTTGCCCAAGGTTTCGCCCTGCCTGGAATTGAACTCAGGTCTCTCACTTGCAAAGCGAGTGCTCTAACCACTGAGCTACAGGACTCCACAACTTGAAGGAGGCTAAGGAGGGGGCGAGGCAGAATGATTGGGGAATGGAATTCCAGAGGCCAGAGCCGGCTGAGCGGAGGAAGCGGGCAGATTGGTAGGGGGTTAGGAGGTCACAGAGGTAGGGTGGGGCAAGACCATGGAGGGCTTTGCAGGTGAGGACCAGGATCTTCAACTGGATCCTCTAAAGGATAGGGAGCGAATGGAGTCGTCGAGAAGGGGTCACAGAGTTTGGTGCGGGAGAGGACACGGGCTGCAGAGTTCTGGATTATCTGCAGCCTGTGGAGGGAGTAGTTGGGAAGGCAGACAAGCAGGGCGTTTGCATAGTCGACCCTACAGTTGAGGGTCGAACAAGACACCTAGGTTCCTGACTGGCTTGGTGAGTTGAAGTGTGCATCCATGCAGTTGATGCTGCCAGAACCTGAGATGCTGAGGCGCTGGGGGGAGCCAATCAGGAGGGCCTCAGTCTTTTCACATTGAACTGAAGGAAATTTGACCTCATCCAGGACTTGATGTCTGACAGGCAGTCTGTCAGGACAGCAGTGGTCCTGGAATTGAAGGTGGAGGCAGAAAGATAGAGTTGGGTGTCATCCACATACATGTCACCAAGGTGGAGCATGTAGATATTAAAGAGGAGAGGGCCAAGGATAGAGCTCTGGGGGACGCCAGACGTGACAGTGTGGGGGCTGGAGGATAAATGGTTAGAGGCAACAAAATGGAGATGATAGGAGAGATAGGAATCGAACCAGGCAAGGGCAGGTCCGCGAAGATTAAGTAAAGAGAGGTGGTGTATCAGGATTGAGTGGACGACAGTGTCGAAAGCGGCAGAGAGGTCAAGGAGGACAAGGAGGCAGAGGGAGCCCTGATCACAGATGTTCAGAATGTCATTAGTGACTTTGACCAGGGCTGTTTCCGTGCTGTGGGCAGCACGGAGGCCAGATTGGAGGGGTTCAAAGAGGGATTAGCGAGAGAGAAAGGAGCAGAGCTGGGACGTAACGACTCGTTCCAGGATCTTGGAGAGGAATGGCAGGTTATAGATGGGGCGGTAACAGGAGAGGAGGGATGGGTCCAGGAAGGTTTGTTCAGGATGGGAATGATGACGGCTGTTTCTAGGGAGGTGGGAACTGAACCCGGTGGACAAGTATAGAGTGTCTAGACTATGATAAGATTAAAGTTGTTTTTTTAAGCAACACTGTAGATAAATTAGAGCAGAACCAGTGTCCTTGTCCTGTCTGCAAATGTATAATTAAACTTGTGATGACTGAATATTGCTTGTCAATCAACAGCAAGAATTGTTTTGAGACATGAGATGATCGCAAATATTCCTGTATATAAACTGATGGGACTGCCCCATTGGTAGAGGGAGCGTACCGACTCTTCTGAGAGACATGCTATTGCATTGCCTCTCGCTTTCCCTCTCCTTGCTGCAAGTGTTAAATAAACTATATTTCTGAGCTAACTCTGTTTGTGAGTGTTCGTTTAATCCTAGCTGTAGCGACTACATCCTGGGTTTGACAGTGGGTTTGAGTTTGCGAATGATGGCGGTGAGGGAAGAGGGAGAGATAGGGTCGAAGGCGTATAGGTGGGGATGGGTGGGGGATGGGTCATGAGGATGAGGTGATGTAGGGTTGGCGGTGGATGGGGCAGATGTGACTGAATGTATCCCCTCGATTTTGGATTCGATTTTGCTCATAACTTACATCGACTCAACACAGCTATCTCAAACAATAACACCCAACGTCATCCTAAGATCAAGGGTTCCAGTGAAGATGAAGCCAAAAAATGCTTTTCATCTTTAATAGTGAATGAGTTATGCTGTCAATGGGGTTTTGCAACACAAAGCTGATCCTGGAGACAGGCCAATTCTTAAAACATTTAGCAATCTTTTTCTTTCACATATACTGATTAACTCGCTAAGGAACTACAGTACTTGTTTTAAAGCACAACATTGCCATTATCTCATTATCCTTCAAAGCTAATCTTGTACTGCTCCAATATCTCTCCCAATGTCCTGGCCAACAATTTTCCAGATAAATTGCTCTTCATCCCATAGCTATTTGTTTTGACTAGTACGAATGGCTGTTGCTCTTGGACACTACACTTGACAATAATTACCTATAAAGTAGTTTGACATCTTTTGACATGTTTAAGGCAACAACAACAAATTACATTTATAGAGGACGTCCCAAGGCGCTGGACAGTCAGGGGTCGGGACTCGAGCATGGGGGAGGGGTGGGATAGGGGTGAGGGAAGGCAGAGAGGTGGGAGGGCGACCGAAGGCACGATCGAAAAGAAGGGTCTCAAGACCGGCCTTGAAGGAGGCAAGGGAGGAAGCGGAGCGAAGGAACCGTGGGATGGAGTTCCAGAGTGTGGGGGCAGAGGCTGAAAGCCCGGCCACCGATGGTAGGGCAGGTCGGGCGGGAGACATAGAGAAGACCGGAGCCCACTGAACTGAGGGAGCGGGCAGGTTGGTAGGGAGTCAGCAGGTCAGAGAGGTAGGAGGGGCCAAGGATGGCCTTGAATGTGAGGACGAGGAGCTTGAATTCGATCTTCTGAGGGATGGGGAGCCAGTGGAGTCGGGCGAGGGTGGGAGTGATGGGGTCTCGGAGCCTGGTGCGCGAGAGTACACAAGCTGCAGAGTTTTGGATGATCTGCAGCTTGTGAAGTGAAGAATTGGGAAGGCCGTTGAGGAGTGAGTTTCCGTAATCGAGGCTTGGTGGGTAAGGCACTATGAAAATGCAAGATTTTTCTTCTTTCTTACAAGCAATGCCTATTATTGTAATTAACAATAATAATCCTTGCATTTGATCTTGCATTGAGAAACATCTCAAAGCATTTCACAGGATTTACTGACTGAGCATTTTGTGGACAAATATGGCAACCAATGCAATCGAGGCAGACAATTCGCACACAGCAATGCCCCACAAACAGCCATTAAGTCAGTAACCAATTTTATCTGAGGGATTGTTGACCAGGACTCTGGGTGAAGCTCCCTTATAAGGAAAAGCCTGGTTACATCTTCCTGTTCCTTTCTCCAAAAACAGCATGAAAAGTTTAAAGTGTCAAAGGAATAAATAAGCAAATATTAATGTCATCAGGTTCCAAAACTATTCTTTTGGCGTACCTTTGATGATCTGAAACAGAAAGCCGTGCTTTTTACGTCAGCTTTTTCTTTGTCCATGAGGAGAAGGCCTTTCTCGTCAATCAGGCTTAAGTATTTTCCTGTTGTCACATGTCTCAGTCTGAATGGCTGGCCCCATCTCATGTGGCTTCCACTCCACCTATAGGGGAGGTCAAGAAGATAATAAAATCAATACATTTGGTGAAGCGATAAAATAAAACTCGTAATGGAGGAATGAAACAAAATTGATTCCCAAAAACAGCAAGCATCTGTGGGTCACCTATAGAAACTCGGTTTAGACTTTTTCCTTTCATCAAATAGCCAAGTTTGATTATCTTCACTGATATTACCAGGCATGAGTGGATACAACTATCAAGAAAGATTGGACAGGCTGGAGCTTTTCTCTCTAGACTGAAAGGAGATCTGATGGAGGCATTTACAACCCTGAAAGGACTCGATCAGGTGGACATGAATAGACTGTTTTACTTGTTTGAGTCCAAAACAAAAGGGCCTAAATATAAGATAGTCATCAGCAGACCTGAAAATGAGTTTAAGAGAAACTGCCGAACGAAGTGTGGAAATGTGGAACTCATTGTCGAAAGCTGTGGTTGAAGCAAAAAGCAGCAATATGTTTAAGAGAAAGCTTGATACGTACTGGAGGGAGAAGGGAATAGAAGGGAAAGGAAAGGGGTACATTGGAGGCTCCAGTTGAGTATAAAGACCAGTACGAACTAGTAGGGCCAAATGGCTTGTTTCCTGTAATGTTTCATATAATTCTATGTAATTCTCAACATCTTTGTTGCCGATGCTGATCCAAAGGACTCACTCACCAGTGAAAGGGCATGGATGCAATCAATACAAGCCCAACACTTACTGGGAAATCCTCATGGTCACAGCAACTCTAATGCAAAAGAAATCCATGGCTGTATTTCCTCCACCTGAGCCTCCACCCATCTTAATCCACCCTGCCTAGCTTCCCCCATACCCCTCTATTCCCTTCTCTCTCATGAATTAATCAAGTTGATTTCAAACTTTATTGATAACTGCAAAACTGTTATCAATATTGACCATTTTAATGGTGACCATTCTCACACAGCAATGACGAATGAAGATGAATGAGGCAACCTGCACATGTTATTTTTGTAAAGTGAATCTGCCTGAAATAAGATCACAAGAGAGGCTCAGATAAAGTAAGCCCTTCAGCCATTTGATCTCATCCTTCCTGAATACTGACTTTACAATCCTCCCATGATAGCATTGAGCTGTCCGTTTTTATATAAAAAAAGCCCAGTCTCCTGACTTCACTCACCCTAACAAAAGTAACAAACAAGTTCAGGATTTGAAACCAAGCTAATAACTTGGAGTCCTGTAGCTCAGTGGTTAGAGCACTTGCTTTGCAAGCGAGAGACCTGAGTTCAATTCCAGGCAGGGCGAAACCTTGGGCAAGTTTCCTTACTCCACACGCCTAATAATAATCCCTCCAAAAACCCAAAACAATAATAAATTGGTCATTTTCAATCTACGACTGTTTGTGGGACATTGCTGTGCGCAATTGGATGCCGCGTTCGCCCTCAAATATACAGTCAATTCACTTTACAGTATATTCTGTGAAGCGCTTTGGGACGTCCTCCCGACGTGAAAAGCGCTATATCAAATGCAAGGATTATTATTATTATTATTATATAACCTCCCCTCGCCCAAACCACCGAAAGATGAACAAGACTCAGGAACAATTAGTTTTAATAAGTAATATGGATTAATGAAGTCAAAAGGTTGATGTTTTTGCTCATCCATAAAACTTTAATCAAAAAGACAAAGAAAAATGATTTATATGGATGGAAAGTTCAAAAGCCGTATAATTAATTGGAATCCAGTCGAGATCGTATTTGATGCAGAAAAAAATTGTTAATTCAAAATCTAAAAACAGCTCTTTCAGGCTCCTTAAAGGTCCAGTCATCATGTCCAGAACCCATCGATGTGAATGTCAATGTTTTAACATATCTTTTGCTCCTTAAAAAATGATTTGTTTCAGAGTTGTAACTGGGACAGGAGGGTGGGATGGAAGGATGAGATCAGATGGGGCTTCTTCATTGGAACTAATATTACGATCTGAACATTGGGTTTATTAGGACTTACTCTATTTTCACAGTAGGCTTCTCCTCCCAAAGTACAGGGAATTCAACACACATTGGATCTAACACACATAGCTTGTGAGCACAAGGAAATGTTTCGCTCACAAAATATACAGTCAATTCACTTTATCATATATTCTGTTAAGCGCTTTGAGACGTCTCGAAGGCGTGATAAGGCCCTATATCAAATGCAAGGCTTATTATTAACATATATTATATATATTGATGACGTACTTATAAAGAAATATAAGTGAAGATAAAACATTCACTTGTGTTACCAAACAGCACATGTTGAACCCATTGTGAACAATAAAATGACCTTGAAATATTTAGTAAACCTTTTCAGAAGTGTACAGAGGGAAACTTCAGAAAAGCACAGGCAACAAATGATACTTTCATTTTGCCCAAATATTCAGCCACATTCACAGTTGAATTTTTCCATTTCTATTATTCTGTGTTGCTGGTAAACTATTATTTTGGGGACTGTTCCATTGACATTGAAGCTAGCCTTCTTAATTCTAATGAAGTTTCGCTCAGCAGATTGAGGAGAAAATCATTCCTTCTGAGAGGCAACAGATAAATATAGGGGTAGAACTGAAACAACAATATCGGTAAAATGAACAACAGATTTATCACACCTCTGCAATCACTCCTCTGCAAAGCACAAGGTCTTAACCAGTAGGTGTAAGGCTGGCTTTATGCTTATTGTATTCAAAAATTTTAACAGCAACACATATGTGCCCAAGTTCCATAAAGCTCAGCAAGATTTGATCCAAACAGTAGCCAATGAAAGGACATGTTCAATGAAGTTGCTTTCACATTATCACTTTAAAATAGGTGCAGTGATGTTAATCCAGCTGTAGAGTCTTGAATTGTACTTCCCAATATTAGAACTAGGCTGGCTCAGTTGGTAGCGCTCTCGCTTCTGAGTCAGAAGGTTGTGGGTTTAGGACTTTTACCTCACATAGTCCAGGGTGATAGTCCAAAGCAGTGCTAGGGCAGGATAGCTAATCATAGAATCGTAGAAATTGACAGCGCACAAGGATGTGATTTGCCCATCGAGTCTACGTAGCTCTCAGACTATGCTGTTCATTCAATCCACAGTCTTGCCCTATCCCCATATCCCTTTAAGCCTCTATCTTTCATATACCTTCCTGCTTCCCTCTTGAAACCCAAATGGACTCTGCCTCTACCACCTTTACTTGGCAGGACATTCCATGTTTAGGAAGTCAACCATTAGTTTAATTTCTTGAAACAAAATTACCATTATTGGTTGATATTTCCCTGGAAAGAGTCATACATAAAAACCCAAATTCCTTGTATGCACCTTGAAATGATGCCTTTGCATGTCTGGTTTCTGTATACCTCAGAGGGATGAAAAATCTGTGTGTGACATGAGGACGATAGCATAGAATGAACTGATTAAATCAATGGTTCTAATTTTGCAACAATTAATATCATTTCTCTTCCACCACTTTCCTTCCTGCACTGGAAGCATTAACTCACGCTGGGGAACAACTCCATGGGTGCCAGCCACCTTCTGGTACCTTGTGCAAGTGATATTTCAGCAGACATATGCCGGAAGAGTAAGCGTCACCAGTTTAGTTGTCATAATCAAGCCAGATCCTCCTAATCCTAACATCCACTTACAATTTCCAGCAGGAGTCACTCGATAACGGTCATGAATTGTCCAATTGTTCTCCCCCTTGGCCCAGGGATATACAAGCTAATTGTAGCTTCCCAACTGTAGCAAACCCAGTACATACCAGTGAAACTGATCTGTGTAGCTCAAGGCTACACCAGGTAGTTTATTCACACACTGAGACTTCAGGAGAGCTGATCAGCAGCTCTTAGAACAATCATCAGGAAATACTGTTTAGATTTTGACTGATAACTGCCCACATTAAAGCATGTTACACTTGATAGGATTATAAATGGCAAATTGTAAAATTAAAGGTGCATTATCCCGCCCGAAGCAACAATCTATGCAGATAATTCTTTTTTTGACACATCGGGGTGGGTGGGGGGGGGGGAATCTTCTTTGTTCTACATCTGATATTATGCCTTCTATCTTATGCCATCACATCTTACGCCATCTATCATTTGCAAGAGTTCAGTTACAATCTACCCATTAATGCAACTATTCATCATCTGAGGAAATGTGAGGCTTTTGCTGTTAATTCTTTACCAGGTGTTGTGGAGGAGTTTGTTCCTGATTTTTTTTCCCCAATTTTCCTTCACTCTTCTTCGATAAGTTATTATTTTGGTACCTGGTTCCAGGAATGTGGTCTTCCCTCCAGTACCTTATCTCAGCTACTCTTCAATGTGTGTCCAGATGATGGACAAATATAAGCGAGAATACCACAGAGGGCACTACAGTCAATTTGAATCTTACCCTGTTGAGTGTCCACATGCACTTTCCAGCAGAAGCCAGAGATACTGATCCGCAACAAGAATCCTGGTGATTTTTTTCTCTCTTAGCCCAGAGCCTGAGGACAGTGGTGCTCAAATCACTTTGTTTCCATGAGGTAATTCAACTCAGCACCAAACTAGAATTGAACATGGACCTCAAGTACACAGCAACACCGTTATAACATAATGTTTTGAGTCCATAAAACTGGAATCCACTTCAAAATCGGTCTGTGTAATGAAAAAGGTTTTCACACCAGAGAGTGATGGGAGTGGGGAATTCTCCATCACAGTCAGTTTTTCGAGCGGCAACAGTGTGCACATGCAAAAATAAAAGTCTGGACATGTAGTTAAGAGAGAATAAAGTTGAGGATATGAGGAATAAGCTGGGGAGTGGGACTAGGGATAGGATCTAGAATAAGCACTCACTTGAAGTATAAACACAAGTCACACTGGATAGGCTGAAAGGCCTGTTTCTTGGCTATATCTTTAACAAATCTATGAGTAAATTATCTTCAATTGCCTCCAGGATAATTAAGTAACTGCAATCCCCACACATTCTTGACTGAACCTGCTTCAACCAATGTTGGGTCCAGCAGACCTTCCCCTTTCACAATATTTCAAATCTAGTCTCACCAATGCTGTAAACAGGTTTAAACGCACCTTCACTGATAGTCCGATAGAGCAGTATAAACAAATATTTGATTTGTTTTCTCAATAATTCTAAATTGATTAGAAGCTTGAAGCGAATGATCAATAATTGACAAAATTCCCTTTTGCAAACTGCCTGCAGGTTTGCAGTTTCTCCAATGAATCACCACATATTAATCAACATTAAAATCCATCTGACATTCCTTAGCCAAACTGCTTCACTGGTCCAGGAATGATATAACATTAGGGGGCTATTTTATTCTTGTCAGTGCAATTTAATCTTAGTAGGGTGAACATTTGAAACACAAGCATCAAATAGCCTGCTGGCACAACAAATAGAAAATAGCAGTTTCTGAAAATACAGTCCCAAAACGAAATCAAAGCAGTTCACTGGTGCCAGTGATCAATTCGACCAGGAAATATATGCATTTTCTCTGGCTCTGAGGCTCAGCCACCTTGGAATTATTTAATCATGGTCTGAATTGGGAGCAAGTCTGAGGTCTGCTCATTCACTGCTGTGGCTCTCTTTGAGTGTGTTCAGAATATTTCACAAAATCAGCTTAGAATGCTACACATTCTTATGACATCAAAGACATTTCAGATCAAAGAGAGGTTTGGATCCATTTTGGTCCATTTCATCTTGCTGTACCATCTTCCCATCACAGTATGAAGCCTTTTATTAATTATATTTGTTACCTTGGCATCCACCTTGCCGCCTGGTAACCTGTTCTAATTGTGACTGTTTGTATTTTAAAGGAACATCTCCTGGTGCCTGTCTTAAAATTGCCCTTCACTTCCCTGAACCTTTGCCTCATCTGAGTCTGAATCCATATTATTTATGCCATCACTTCCTGTTACCTGCTATCCACCTAGTTAGGGTTCAAACCTGTGCTTGTCAGATGGCTAATGACAACTAGTGACTATCCACCTTGAAGCAGGGTCTCCTTGGGATTGAGTTGGCTCCATGGTGATGTGCCTGCCAAAGGAATATAAGAATCGAGCCAAACTTTGTGGCAGTCTCAGAAGATTGGTTCCTTATTGAGACAGGACCATAGTGCTCCAAGGCAATTTTGACAGGCCAACCAACCTGGTTTGTCAGCAGGGCAAAGCACTGAATTGGAGCTAGGGATTCTTGCCACTTGGATCCTGTTATCCTGCAAGCCAAACGCTTAATAGGTGAAATGATCCTGACTGGAGAACAGAAAGAAGGTTGCCAGACAGTGTTTGCAGTGGTAAACTATGCAGTTATAGTTGATTAAACTCCAGGAGTACACCGACATACTCTCTAGGTCCCCAAGCATTGACTCTTGCCAACTTGTACCTAACACTCTAAAGAATCAGGTAAGGAATATGAATCCGTCCAGAGAGAGACAAGAGAAATTTCCATGTGTAGGTGGCATACACACATATGAAACTTTCAGTCTGTATTTGGATACTCATGGTTTTTGCAATTGTCAGACACTTGTTAGTGATAGGACAAATTATTGGAATGATTGGGTTATTCATTCCAATTCTAGGTAGAATTTAAGAGATATCAATGGTTATTTGTTACTACCATTATACAGATCCTTCCAGGTATTATGAGGAAGCATAGACATTGAATTTACCTACTTCATCAGTTGATTTGCAAAACATTAACTTGATTTGTAAATTTGTGAAGTATCTCCATCTGCTGATTAAACCAATTAAAATAAATGGCATTTATGTAATGCAATGTAACATGTAGCTAAAATACACCTTTCAGAGGGATGATATTCACCATGGGGGTAAAGGTAAATAGATGTACAATGTAAATAGATATAAGCAAGTGGATGAAATGCCAAGCAGTTTAGATTATGGTTCAAAGTGAGTCCTTGGTGTAAACGAGAAAGTGAACGTTGAGGTTTCGGCAACATAACAGGGACTAAAATGTGGTCACCGCAAGCTAGATGTCACTGCTCTCATAGTGTTTTGGGATGTGCTACTGAAACCGGAGTTCCACTATGAAAGCAATTACTGTTGAATCACACGATGGGGGGTGGGAGAAGGAGAAACGTCTCGATCCTGAAGGGTAGCAAAGTCCTTTCTGTGACCGAAGTTTTAATTTCCAGCTTTTTGACCAACTTTTTGGGGCCTTTTTCTTTGGCAGAGAAAGAATCCGATGGTTGTAAACTGGAAGTCACTAGAAGTGTAATATTCTCAAGATATAAAGCAGTTGGTTATTTCCAAAAACTGTAGCAGACATGAAACTGTAAAACGAAACCCTTTTAGCAACCATTTTCTTTTTGATTGGTTAATAATAATAATCCTTGCATTTGATATAGCGCCTTAGCACGTCATTGAGACATCTCAAAGTGCTTCATAAGATATACTGTAAAGTGCAGTGACTGTGTATTTTTGGGGTTAAACGTGACATCCAGCAGAACACAGAGATAGGATTTTGGTTTAATATCTGATCAAAGGGCGAAATGTTAATAACAGATAACAAATTATGAATTTATGAATGATCAAATTATGAATTTATGGATTTGTCAGCTGATACCTAGAATCTGTTATATAATTCAAAAAGCATGTTAAACTGGAATCAAAGCACCTATCACACATCACCTAATGCAGTTCCTAATCCCCACAATTCAGGCCGCCTGCCAGCAGTCAATGGTCACTGCACCAACCCAGCTGCTTCTGGTCACAACAGTAGGTAAAGGTCCTATTTGAATAAATTATATATTGTCTTGCATGATCCAGGATCAAAAATAATGGCAGGGGACTAATAAAGAAGACATTCATATGGTTAGATCCAATGTAATACTTCTCTCCATCACAGATTCCTATCAATTCATACATTCTCATTTGTTACTTGGAGTCCTGTAGCTCAGTGGTTAGAGCACTCGCTTTGCAAGTGAGAGACCTGAGTTCAATTCCAGGCAGAGGGCGAAACCTTGGGCAAGTTTCCTTACTCCACACGCCTAATAATAATCCCTCCAAAAAACAAAAACAATAATAAATTGGTCATTTTCAATCTACGACTGTTTGTGGGACATTGCTGTGCGCAATTGGCTGCCGCGTTCGCCACAAATATACAGTCAATTCACTTTACAGTCTATTCTGTGAAGCGCTTTGGGACGTCCTCCCGACGTGAAAAGCGCTATATCAAATGCAAGGATTATTATTATTATTATTATTATTATTATTATTATTATATTACTTACGCAACCCTCAGTGTCTCAAGTCTCCACAGGGAGCGAGCATGAATGGACACCGCTCCACCTTCATAATGAACTGTCCTGGAGAGAAACAGGAAAGAGCAGACGGTCAAACCTTTAAACAAAGACTTGTATTGTAACAATGTTTCAATCTGTCATTAATCTAAAATATGTATTAAGAAAATTCAAAAGATTCTAAGGAGCTCTCAAAATGATTTAACATTTTAAAAAGATATCAATTTAATTTAATCTAGACTAGAAATCAGTTAGAAAATAGAAATCTCTTCATATCAAAACAACTCAAAGCACTTCATGATACTCACTGCAAACTGAAGTGATTGTGTATGTGTTGGCAAATGCAGCAGCCAATTTTCACACACCAAAGTCCCACTAAAGGCCATGAAGTGAATGACTAATTTTATGATCTGTTTTTAAAACAATCTCAATGATTGTGTGATATGTACTTAATTAAATCAAAAACCAAAAATCCTCCCCTCCCCAGCAATATGGATTCTTGTCTTCCCAAAGATTGTTTTCATCCTTTTAGTTCCACAATTTCATAGGCCCAAAATCCCACTTAGTCTTAGCCAATAAAACCACTTTGTCTTAAAATTCAAGATCACACAGAATTACTAAAAATTCTTAAATTGAGTCTAAGTTTGAAAGTTGCTTCTCCTTAGCAACTGCAGGAAAACAACTTCAAACTTATGACTGAATTTAAAGAATTTATGCAATTCTGCTCAATCTTAAGTTTGAAGACATGGTAATCTTACAGGCTATGACTGGGTAGAATTTCAGGTCTTATCTATGTGTTCAAGTGTAACTCACAATGTCTAAAAATCTAAGTCATGCTTTTTACATAGTGTAAGGCTAATACTGAGTGGCACACTTCCATGTTGATTTTCCTAGTTCTGTCTAGGTGTGAAGTAAAAACTGTGCTATGACATGTCACCTCTGTGAACACATTATTGCACCATGTGGGAAATATCTTTAGCGCCCAAATGTGTGGGTGACCCATTTCTGTCAACCTAATTCACAATGACTCAAAGTAGGTCTATGTAAAATAGTTTTATTCCGCATTGTAAAGGTAAGTTGACTTTCAGGCAAAGTCAATTATATCCTCAATGTCACCTGGGACTGGAATTTTTATTGCTTGGTCATGGCTTCACAGTAGACCCATAGAAATGTACAGCATGGTAGGTAGCCATTTGGCTAACTTTTTGTGTTGGTGTTTTGCTCCTTCAAGAAGCCATCCATCCTGATCTCAGTTCCCTGCTCTATTCCTGTACACTCCAACACTCTTCTTCTGCATTGTTCCACAGCAATCGATCTTTAATCACTATGACCTTCATCTCAAGTTTGAAGACAGACAGGTTTGAAACAATGGAAATCTGTCAGCTGGGAGAGTGAAAGTAGAATGAGTTTGGAGCCATCTTTGCTCAGTTTCTAGTGTAAACATCACATGGTTGCAGTTTAAATTACAAAATCTCGCTCCAAAATGCTACATAAGGTGGCTTGTGTGAGAAATAGAAAAGTCAGATGAGAGCAATAACTTGCATTTATGTTGCGCCCTTCACGCGGGGTAGCGTCCCAGAGAGCAGTGGTAGTGCGGAGGCTTTTCTGAGAATGGATTACATCACATTGAGGAAGAATTAATTTCACAAGGACACTCGAGGATAGGAATGAATGAAGATTCATAGTGAATTATTAGGTAGATAACTTCAACAGATTCCCAGCAAGCTGGACCCTATCTAATAATTCACTGTAAATCTGCATTCATGTCTATGCTCAAGAGTCTTTGTTAAATTAATTCTTCCTGAATGTGATGTAATTTTACTGTTCCGTATCCTTGTTGGAATGGGTCAGAGTGTGTGTGAGGGGCTGGGGGTGGCAGAATAATGTTGGATGAAAACAATGCACTATATCAATGCAATTTGTTGTTGTTTTGCTGCAATCCTTACACAAAATGAATGTTCTGCCCTATGATGGCACTTATTACCTGGACTCACATGTGAAAAGGATCTACCGGGCCAAGGAACCAACAGGCTGCTGGCACCCCAGCAGGAATCATGATAATCAGGGGAAGAGGGACAAGAGGAAAAAATGTGTGATGGGGTGGGGCAGTTTGGAAAATAGAGAGCATTGGTACTTTTAGGATGAAGGTCTTATTTATCCAAACAAATCTTGTGATCATCTGAATTTTTAAATCCTCCTCCTCTCTACCCAGAGAGATCAAGGAGCACAGGTAGATAAGTCTTTAGAGTTGTGAGTCAAGGTAGACAAGATCATGAAAAAAATGCAATTCAAGGTTTTCTATATAAATTCATGGGCAGGAAGGTCATTTTAAATCCGAACAAAACAAGACATTTGTCCAAGATGCTAGACTAATGTTGGTGTGTTGCGTCCAGTTTGGGGTCCTCTCAGGTCTGGCAGATGCCAAGCTCTTTAACATTTCAAAAGGATCACACTGGAGGCTGTGGTTTGCCTGACGTACCTGCGCTGTTCCTCCCCGTGCTCTCCAGAAGGTACAGTCAGACATTCATCCATGTGTCCATGCAGTAACCTCAGCACATCCCCTCCCTTTAGGTAACCTAACAAAATAGAGAGAAAGAGAGAGCAATTTATTATTCATTCTTAACACCCAACAGCAGGAACAGATGTGGCTGGCATTTTCTCTTATTGTTGGTAGGAATGCTACAAAAAAGCAGCTCATTTTGTTATGGTGAAAACCTTATACTGGTGTCACTGATTCTGACTTCCAGCGCCTTGGGACGTCCTCCTGACGTGAAAGGCGCTTTATAAATGGAATCTTGTTGTTGTTGTTGACTTAAAACTATTCACATTCACCTAGTTAAGTTAATCTTCAACTCATTGAGAATCTCAAAATTCATTTAATAATGTTCAATTTATCTGGAGGATTCTTGGCCAAAACACTGGGGAAATACTCCCTTCTCTCATTGCCTGGACCAAATGGTTCAATTTCAGTTCTGTGCTTGTTCTTGCAGAATTGTGGATAAATTTACTTCTCCGGATACTGTTGACTGAATTACTATTTGCCACCTCAACTTCCTATTTTAAACTTAACAACCCAGTCTGAGATTGTCTTTGACACAGCAATCTAGCTTCAAAACCTGCCCTATTAAAAAGGGTTCAGCCAATCCCCAAAAATGTTTTATAGAGTGGAATTGGAAGAAAGTAAGAAATAACTTTAAGGTTAGATATCAGTTGTATAATAATGGGACATCGAACTGATTACAGGGCAATAACCTTGTCAATTAGTGTGACTTTTGAAACTTGGTGCTGTGATAATTCAAACCTTAATAAACTCAATTATTAATCCAGTCACATAAAGAGTGGAAGGAATAAATTACTTCTGGGAGGGGACTAACAATTGCCAGTTACACAGCACAATTGCTTGGCGTGGTGCAGTGGAAGTGACGAACAGAAACAGAGAGAAAAGTAATTACATAGGATCTACAACACCAATACAGGCCATTCAGTCCTTGCCGGCATTTATACTCCACACCACACATCTCCTAATCCCTCCATACTCTATTCCCTCCTCTGTCATACAATTCTTATTCATTCTGTGAAGCATTTTGAGACGTTCATTTATGTGAAAGTTGCTATGTAAATGCAAGTTGTTATAAGATATATTGATATATTTTGCCCACAAAATACACAGTCAATTCAATTTACAATACATTCTGTGAAGTACTTTGAGACGTTTCAATGACATGACAAGGTGCTATATCAAATGTAAACATTATTATTATTATTATATCATGGAGCACACAAACCAAGGGAGGTGGTTTCATTTGCTGTTGCACTGTGTGTTTTTTTGTGTGCGTGTGTAAAATGCTTTGGTTGGAGTACAAAGGCAATGGCACAGATACAGCAGTATCACTGCAGGCTCTGTAAACAATCTTACCCTGCGCTACTTCACTTCCAGAGCAAATTGGAGCAACACTCCAGAGAGTTTGCTGGAATGCGGCATCAACCTGCAAGCTGCTGGAGCCATAGGACAAATGCTGCAACAGAATAAGAGCAGTTCAGTACCAACTCGCGATTCCAGGTCGCATTCAGACACACAGTAACAGACTACCATCAATTTAAATTACTGTTACATCACTTAGAAAGTTTTGTGGTGAAATACTGCAGCTTCGGAGTCTTTTGATATTGTGTTATTTTATTGCCATCAAGTCAAATAGAAAAGTAGTTAGCAAGGTGGGGGTGAGGGGGGGGGGGGGAATACTGTATTTTATGTGATAATTATCACTAGTAATGATTATCTAATGCCCAAAAAAGCAGTTGTTTTGATGGCTTTGGAATTGAACACCCTTTCTCCTTCCCCACCCTCTCTTCTCCCCTCATTTCCAAAGCTGCCAATTGCTGGAGAATGGCTTCTCCCTCCAGCCCTTGAAAGGACTGATTTACCACCAACTAGAGTGCCAACAAGCACCTTGGGACATCCTCCCGACGTGAAAGGCGCTATATAAATATAAATTTGTATTTTATTGTAATATCCTGTAGTGACTGCACTTTTAAAGAACTTTTTAATGTTTGTGTCAATAACTGGAAGACAATCTTTAAAAACTTCCTGCTACAAATCTGACTCCGACAGACAATCACATCCGAAAGGTGGTTGTGTGTCTAGAAGCGAAACTGTGAATTCAGGACATTTTACTCACTAGGTATCGTTCTGAGGAAATGCTGACTAAAATCAGGTCATCTCCGACACGCACTTTTTCACCTTCAGAGCGTTGTTTGGAGGCTGGGTGAATGGTCCACCAACAGGCCTCTCCTATACAAACAAGAACAGGAAAGCATTCCTCTGCAGGGTTAAATCAAACAGCATTTATATCATGCATTTTTTCAGAATTATCCTTGCCAAAATGAAAGTAACCTGGAGGAGCGAGCAGCAAATTGAATAAGCCTATTCAAAGTGATTAGATTTGATTAGATTTATTTCAAAGTGATCCAACATGGGTCCAATTTGCTGCATACACAAATGTGGGTATAAATTATTTGTGCTCACAAGCAGACCTTTCTTTTCGACCGCGCCTTTGGACACCATCCTACCCCTCCCCCGGCTCGGTCTCAGGATCCTAAACTGTAAAGCGGTCTGAGATGCCGTCCAGCATGGAGGGCGCTATATAAATCCAAGTTGTTGTTCTTTTTGCAAAGTGGCTCTTCACATGTGGACACAGTGACTCATGTGACCCCGTTTGGCCTTGGCCATGGCCTTGTCCCCTCCTACCTCTGTGACCTGCTGACTCCCTACCAACCTGCCCGCTCCCTCCGTTCAGTGGGCTCCGGTCTGCTCCGTGTCTCACACCCGACCCGCCCTACCATCAGTGGCCGGGCTTTCAGCCTCTCTGCCCCCACATTCTGGAACTCTATTCCACGGTCCCTTCGCCTTGCTTCCTCCCTTGCCTCCTTCAAGGCCGGTCTCAAGACCCTTCTCTTCAATCGTGCATTTGGTTGCCCTCCCACCTCTCTGCCTTCCCTCACCCCTACACCAGCCCTCCCCCATGCTCGGGTCCCGACACCTGACTGTTCAGCGCTTTGGGACATCCTCCCGACTTGAAAGGCGCTCTATAAATGTAATTTTGTTGTTGTTGTTGTATTGTTTGCTTTGCAAACGGTTCAACTGACAAGAGGCAGAACAAAGATTACACATATCCCATCTGTCTCCCACTCTCCGATTTTAATCTCAGTCCAAGTCAAAGTGATCTTTGCAAGCTATCCGGATGCAGTTCCTCTTTATATGAGTCTTCATCTGTTTAATCCTAACTGAGCTTCAAAACAAAACTTAATCCTCTATCACAACAAAAACACTGACATAAAGCAGCACAGAGACCAGAAATCCAAATGACAAAACTTTCAAAGTTTGTTTTTATGATTCTTGAGGGACTTTAACTAAGGTGCATGAGTAAGAGCATTTGCCATTAGAACTTGAACAATGTGGCTTTGAAATATCAACTTCAGGTATCACAAAACATTATTATTGGGGTGAAAATAAACGTTATCACGCAGTTGAACAAAATATTAGTAAGATTAAAATAATGCACAGAATTAAACTCAAATAAACTAGATAACAGCAATAAAATACTGTGCAACATTAACATGTGACGAGAATTATTTCCTTATCGACATCCATTAAACTTGTCACATTTGCACATTCCAGTTGCATGTTCCTGGATAGTTACTGCACAGGCCAACTACTTATAATCTGTTTTGCACTCACAGTGTAACAGATCAATGACTGAAACTACTTGGAGCTGGAGGCTGGTTTATATATGTTTCCAAGATGAGCAAAGTCATGTCATGTGCATTTGGCTTCATCGCAAAGTTGTGCTCAGTGTCTTTCCTTCTTTCAAAATTGTTGAATCAAGCTATTTGTTGTGTTAATTATCACCACACCATGACAGACAAATATGCTTATGTGTGTCCTATGGTGTACAAGTAATTTGTGATGAAGAAGTATTCTGTAATGTAGAAGTCATTGAACATCGAGCAGAATACTTAAAGCAAATTGATACTTGCAAGTGAACCAGTCTACACTACATAGTTTATCATTGGATAATTCACAATTGTCACACCCATAAGCAAGTATGGTGTCAGCCACCATGATTCATTCCCAGTTGGTTTCTTTGCTGCGGGACTGGGACAACGAACAGAGAGCCTGAATCAGTTTTCAGATCTCTGTTACTAAAAATACGCCCTCCATTAAGGGAATTGGATATTCACTTGTAAAGAAAAAAATTGCAAGGCTCAGGAGAAAAAGAATGAGGTTAGTGGGACTAGTTGGGTAGCTCTTTCAAAGAGCCGCCACAGACATGATGGACCGAATGGCCTCCTTCTCTGCTGTAGGATTCTATGTCTCTATGATTCATTCACCTGACTGTTTCACCTTTCCTTCCTCTATTTTAATGCACAAAGCTCACTCCAAAATAATTCCAGGGAGAATCATCCACATTTTTTTAAAGTATGTGCAAAAACAATAAGGTTCTACACTCAAATACAGAATCTACAATGTAAAAGTGAACAAAACTCTCACTCTATGTTCTCAATCATACCTGTTGTGTCTTCCTGTAACCCGACATCAAAGGCTAATTTATCTGTTGAAGACCGTGATGTGGATAAGCAGCAAAGATACTTGAAATGAAAGATAAAATAGCAAGAGATTAGATATTTCAGCCTGTGTAGGTTGCCTGAGAAGATGGCACAGATTGTCTCAACAATGCCGTCACGTTTTGAGGTTGTTGCCTCTTAACCCGGTTTCAAACAACTCATTGTAAAATAAGCGTTTTGCAATAATGTGCAATTCAGTATCATTGCTAAGAATCTGATTCAATGGAATCTCTGAAATGAACGCTTTTTTGATCCTGTTCAATCCACTATCATTAATAACCCACCAGTAATGTTGAAAAGTGTCTAATAGACATATGTGGTTGGTTTTAACCTATGAGCTCATTGTAGTGCTGCCTGGTTCTCTGGGACAGGAGAAGCTTTGTTCAGTAATGTAGTTCAGTTGTTTTCTGTAAAGGTGTTACAAATCACCCCTGGTCTATTTTCTTGTTTTTATTTAGTACAATTAATAGAACATATGTTCCATTTACCAGCGATCTTGATCGGGAATATTTAGCTGAGGGCAGCAACTGAATGACTCTTACCATTCCACTGTAGGAGTGCCTGAGCAGCACAGCATGACCGTACAGAAGGGTCCGATGGCCTCCACCGTGCACTGTCTGTTGAGATGAATGACAACAGCATTCAAACAATTGCATCAGGTTAAAAGGCATATGAAAGAGAGTGGCTTGATGGAATAAGACGAGGCAGAGAGACTGAATTGATCTCCTTGTTCCGTGAGTTGGTGCGGAATCAATGGGCCAAATGGCCTCCTTCTGTGCTTTACATTTCTAAGTTTCAAAACACATAACCTCTGTGGCACAGCTCATTGTTGTCTAATGTGAGGTGATTTCTAATGGGATTTGTTAAAAGCACATACGTGCAACACATTAGAGACTTGGGTTCAGATCCCAGCCTCTGTTGGCATTTTCATGAAAATCTCTGATTTGGGCTGTCTTAAAATGTTCAGCTTTTTCTATACCCACCAGAGCCAAACATTAGTTCCCATAAGTAGATCCGTGTCTTCTGCATTCTAGGAAGCTGAACATCTGGCAGAGAGAACATACCCTTTATTGCCTGTTCGTGTTGAGGACTTTCTTTGATTACATGACACTTTACCAAAATATTCAATAAAGCTTCTTCGAACCAAGCTCCCTAGGAAGTTAAACAGGTTGACCAATTCATTTGTATAAAACATAAAAAATTAACAATGCTCCTGGCACATATACAGTAATACAATGTAAAATTGAAAGTACAAAACGGATACATTTATCAGTTTAAACAGTTCAGTCATTTAAACACAGCTATTTTAAGTTCACAGTTCCTTATTCTTTGTCCTTCTGCAACACTTTTGCTTTGTATTATCTCTTCTTTCTCACATCTTTTCATTCGAGAATTTATCTGTTCTGAGTCACAAATATGTGGACTTCCTCCGGTTGTGCAACATGAATAGGAACAGAAAAAGGCCATTCAGCCCACTGAACCTTTTCTGGTAATTTATGAGATCAAGTCAGATCTTTTGATCTATTTCCATGTCTTTGCCCATAACCCCTTATTTCTCTTACTACCCAAGCATCTATATGTTTCACTTTTGAACACACAAATTAATGTCGGATAGGTTTGCTTCTTCCTTTTAAACGCCCTTCCCTCGTTCGGCAATGAGCTTGTCCTTGTAAAACACTCATTTTCCTACGTGAAGATTGTTTTATAATTGCAAGTTATTGTTGTTCTAGTTCTCTATGCAGACAGAACTATACTTGGAAGGATTTTGTCAGGAGAATTTGCCCAGACATGACTGTTCAAAATGGTAACTTGTCAGCCAGCATAGGTTGTTCAATTCCTTCATATACTCAATGAGGCTGTGTAAATTATAGCTTCCAATTTCTGCAAATGTAGGAAACTGCCTCCCATGCTCCTCAGATTAATATTGTTAACTTTGCTTTCATTGATCACCCTCATACAATAGAATGCCATACAATTCTGTAGGTCTACCCAATGTACTCATTGACACAGGACATGTTTCAATGCTTTATTCCTGGGTTAAGGAACTCTCTTAAACTTCATTTTAAATGTAAGTATTTATGGAGTAAGACATTAAGTCTACATGTTACCTACTTACCTACTTGAGAACCGGTTCAAGAGTGAGTTGGTCTGAAGAAGCCCAAGGCTACTGTGCTGGGTCTGGAATTCCAGGTCTCCCACATAGAGGTAGAGAATTCCAGACACAGTCACCAACATGAAAATAACTGTGCAGATGTGGTGCTTTCTCTTTCTAACAAAAAGAATAATTGTGTAAATTAATAGATACAATTCTGAAAATAGTTGGATTCTATATAATAAATAATCCTTGTATTTCATATAGTGCCTTTTGTATGTTGTATGAATCAGGCTGTTAAGCGCTCTGAGACGCCGTCCCTTGTGAAGGGCGCTATATAAATGCAAGTTGTTGTTGTTACCCCATCATGGCATCAAAGCATCTCAAAGTGCTTCACAGGATTGGCTTCAAAGTGACTGGATACTTGCAATGAAATAGTTGAGCAGGAAGGGATAGAGGGTATTAAGAGGGATGCTGTCTCACTTGGAGTATAAACTCCAGCATAGACTAATTAGGCTTAATGGCCTGTTTCCGTGCTGTAAGGTTCTACTACAACAACAACATTACATTTGTAAAGTGCCTTCCACGTCAGGAGGATGTGCAAAGCGCTGGACAGAAAGAGTTTCGGATCCGAGCTGGGGATCGGGGTCGGGGAGGGTGGAGGGCAGGGGGGAAGCAGGGAGATCGAAAGCACAGTCGAAGAGCAAGGTCTTGAGATGGGTCTTGAAGGTGGCAAAGGAGGGGGTGAGGCAGGGGGACTGCGGGATGGAGTTCCAGAGGGTGGGGGCAGAGTGGTGGAAGGCCCACCCGCCAATAGTGGGGCGAGTGAGGCGGAGATGTGAAGCAGGCTGGAGCCCGCTGAGCGGAGGGAGCGAGCAGGATGGCAGGGACTTAGGAGGTCGCAGAGGTAGGAGGGAGCAAGACCGCGGAGGACTTTGAAGGTGAGGACCAGGATCTTGAACTGTATCCTCTGTGTAATGGGAAGCCAGTGGTGTCGGGCGAGGATGGGGGTGATAGATTCATGGAGCCTAGTGTGAGAAAGGACATGGGCTGCAGAGTTCCAGGTGATCTGCAGCCTATGGAGGGAGGAGTTGGGGAGGCCGACAAGCAATGAGTTTGCATAGTCAAGCCTCGATGTAATGAAAGCATGTATGAGGGATTCGGCAGCCTGTGGTGCGAGACAGTGGCGGAGCCGGGCGATGTTGCGGAGGTGGGGGGAAAGCAGAGCGGGTCATGACGCAGATGTGGGGTAGAAAGGATAGTTCAGGGTCAAACAAGACCCCAAGGTTCCAGACTGGCTAAGCAAGGTGGAGTGTGCAACCATGGATGGTGATGCTATCAATGCCTGAGGTGTGGAGGCAATCAGGAGAGCCTCAGTCTTGTTGACATTCAACCGAAGAAAGTTAGCTCTCATCCAGGACTTGATGTCCGACAGACATTCTGTCAGAACATCAGTGGTCCTGGAGTCGAGGGTGGAGGTAGAGAGGTAGAGTTGAATATCATCCGCATACATGTGGAAGTTGACCTCATATCTGTGGATGATGTCACCAAGAGGGAGCATATAGATATTGAGGAGGAGGAACCAAGGACACAGCCCTGAGGAACACCGCACGAAACGGTCTGAGTCTTTTTGCAATTTTATATACAGTGTATATACAACTTATGTTTGTTTCTGATACTCCACTTTGGTGTGCGTGTATATAGTCTGAAAATAATCTGGTAGAGGAGTCATGTTCAATTAAAGTCCACAGCTGCTTACCCCAGTAATGCCAGTATAGTAATGAGACTTGAAATTGGATGCGACACATGTATTGAACTGCTTCTGTGCTCACTATCATCTGAACCACATATTGCACGACTTCTAAATTAGATACAGCCGAGCAACACTTAAATTCAAGATTTGAACTATATGAACATACTATCGACTGAACTGCACTTGATTGATCGTAACTCTATTTCAAGAGACTTTAATGTTGGTTCGTTAATTTAAAAGAAACAAAGAATATGCTTTTGGTGGATCTGGGAAAAAATATCAGCTTCAGAACTGAGTCCCAGCAACACACAGGAACAGTGGTACAAAGCAGTAGAATAATGGCCTGAAATTCCACCTACTCTTATTCTGATTAGTTTTAAAGAATAAGATCTTGTACAAATGTGGAAAATTCTTAAAGTTGCCTTCCATTCATCAGTAACCAAGGGGAACATATTTTACTTGACAAACAACAGGAAAAAGCCCCAAAAGTTGTTTTGGAATGATACTAAAATCATACAATATGCATTTATATGGTGCCTTTCATGTCGGGAGTATGTTTCAAAACTGTTTCCACTGCCAGCTGGGTACCTGTGGGGAGGAAAAGAAATGGCGGGGGGGGGGGTGGAATCATGAATTGCTCTTGCAGAGTTGTTGTGGAATTTGAAATTTTTATTTGCAGTGATTCTATTCTCCAAATTACAAGTTCCTTGTGGATTTGGAATGTGGATTACGGATAAAGGAAAGAATTGATTCACGCTGGACACACTAGAATCTATCCTCCTTGAGTGAGGGAAGCAAGCAAGGCCTCCTTGGAACTGAACTGGCTCCAAGGTTACATGTGTAGCAACAGAATGTCAGAATTGAGCTAATCCACTGTGGTGGTCTCCGTAGTCCTGAGTCAGGCAGGCCTGCAGTATTCCAGGGCACTGCTGATGGCAGCCAGTCAGCCTGGCTCATTGGCAGGACCTGGAAGGGCAGACTGGTCACTGAGGACAAGGGCAAGCTAAGCGGTTTTAGCTGGTTAGACTCCAGCTGTACCCTAATGCCCACTCTGACGTCTCCAAACCTTGGCTCTTGCCAATTTGCATCCAGTACTTTCCACAATGAAGTAAGCGGAATGGGTCCGTCCAGGGAGAGAGTGCGCATTCCATTCCATCTATGGAATTTCCATGTGTAGGTGGGCTGCCTGGAATTCTGCAAGTGTCAAGAATATGCTTGTCTGGTGCAGCATTATTCTGATGGATTATTTTACTTTGAGGTGATTTTTTTATATATTATATCTTCTTCTGTTTTTTTACACATCTCCACACTGAAGATGAAGCCCCGAGAGGACAAACAAGTGACCTATCTCAGACCTATAACAATTATAGAAGCCACCCTCAATCAATTCTTTCTCCCTCTGACAGAATGCTAAATATCCTTTCAACGGCTCCCCAGGGGCATAGTTAAGACTCTGCCAGGCGGGATATATATATGTATATATATTGTCAGTTGGATCTCCCACTTGTTGCCACCTTGTGTCTCCTGAACTGGTGTTTCTGAAAGGATATTGATCTATCAAGTGAGATTCAGATATGAAGGGAAGCAGCTAAGCTTTCAGACAATATGAATCTTATGCATTGAAAGTACAGGTTTCCCATATTTAAGAGAAAGCCATTAATGTAAAAATATTATTGCTATGTCAGTGCAATGCTTATTTTGCTCAGCTTCTTCTTGCATTTCTGAATGAGCATGTAAAATATTGATTTTAATTTCTGAATAGCTTAAACCATGAAATGTTTGTTCAATTTATTATTTACTTCATGTTACAACAAATTATATGTAGTGTATGCATACAATGAGGCTATTTATTTTCAGTTAAAATAATCACTTTGTTTGATATAGTGCCCTACCGTAGATTAGTGGTTTTGTAGGCAAACGGTGTCTGTCAGATGGTGACAACCCTGAATCAGAAGCAGTTAAATTAAAGCCAGCCAGGATACTATTGGTCCAAATCACATTTTAAAGAATTAACTCATAATCTCTGTTTGCAGCATAGTCTATCACCAAATAATACACTTCAATGAGCCTGTAAATAGCACTGGAAATTTGACATAAGAATCAGGATGCACAAGATTTCAGCTAAAATCAGTCAAGCAGTGACGTCAGCAAATACGTTGAAGATCAGATGTATTTTGTGGGCAGCAAGCTGCAGATTGTGGTTGAGTGTTCAGGAAGTGGAGAGGAGGAGTGCCATTGAGAGGTAATGTATATCCGCAGACAACCATGGGACCAGCCATTAACTCACTCATAGAATAGAGTTTGATATGAGAAGGAGGAAGGGTGGTAAAGGAAAAGTATGAGACAGAACAGGTAACAATATATTTGAAATACTGCATAAAAATCAAAGAACTGAGTAACTATGAAATTGTTTGAAGAGATAGATAGTGTCAATTTTATGATGCATCTTGAACCTCTTGGAATAACAGGCAGTTTCACATTATTTTCTCATATTTTTCTCAATACACAAGTTTGGGTTCATAAGGCATGCCAGCTCGGTTTCCTTCCTTTTTTCATTTAACGTCCAACCTATTCCATTGCAAATCATACACTTAACTGGTTAGGATTTAAAATGCAGTATTCACAAGAGGGTGATCATGTTGGTAATCAGATGTACGTTCTGCTGATCTGTCACTCCTCTGGAGGAGATTACCCCAGAACAGAGCTCCTACAGATCAGTATGATATAC